GTCGTACATCGACCTCAGCTCTGCGATGGCGGGCATGTGGGCGTCTTTCATCCACGACCTCGATCCAAACCCGAACCAGGGCGTTGTGAAACCCGCTGTGTACTGGGATTCTTATTCTAGGGACGGACCTGTTGATCTCTGTCTCGATGCTAATACGACCAGTCATATGGAGGCGGATACATGGCGCCAAGACGGGATCGATTATATCAACTCGGTTGCGCGGGCTTTCTGGCGGTAAAGGGGGTTACACTGTGATTATAGAAGAAATGGCAGATGGCCTAGATTGGGCTTACAAATGAATCCCAAGGTCGAATCGGATCCGAGGGTCAGGGCCAAATTATTAAAGTCGTTGAACCATGGTTCTTTCTCTTCATATCCACTCAGCACGCGGGTATTGCATCACTGCTCAGTTGCCGAGTGGATCGGTTCCAAATTATGCCAAACACAAACAAATATGTACTAGTACTAGTATGTATAGATGGAGTACTCCCTGTTCAATATCCAAAATAAAAACAGACAATCTACAACGTACAGGTCATAGCCGAAAAAAGAGTGCGTCAACTGTCTCAGCTCTAGTTTGTCTGAGGCCGCGTGTAATCTATAGACGCCCCGTCAGACGCACTAGAGTTGTAGATCGACATCGCGATCCAATTCCACGTCTCACTAGACACGATTTGCAGTCAGCTCGTATCCCGAACCATGGTTGCACTCCCGAATCGTCCGGAAGATCCAATAATGCATTTTTGCTTTTTCAGACCCACGATACATGTCCATCCTGAAAATCAGCCCGAGTCATAAGTTGTAGATGAGACTTGATATAGTGGGTCGCTAAGCATCCCTTTACAGCTACCTATATTGGATGCGCACTATAGACGCCTATCGCGCGGATCCCAAGGCAAATCCAGGTTGGACGAACTAATGTCTTCACCACGGCTACTTAACTAACCAACTACCTAACCAACTACGTGAGCTGGTTACCAGTTACGGACAGGAGAATAGACATCTCAGACATCTGACCCGTGACGTGGCCGAGCTTAGAATTATAAATCCACTCCAGCTATCCATGGATATAGGATCTCACATGCCGATACGATGCCAGCCAGCCTTTGTTTAACTATGGGTACCAGTTCTACGGAAATTGGAATGCATAGCATATACCTACATTCCCAAGCTCACCGCCACAATTCCAGCGCCGGCCTGGGAGCCAGAGCCAATCTCAGATCGCAGCGGGAGATGCTGCATTGAGTAAGGATCTCAGCAAGATCGGGGCGGGGCTGAAATTCTACGATTTGAAACTTTCATGCAGGGCTAGCTTTTTTAGGATGGTTGCCTCCTTTTCCAAGGAGTGTATGCATCTTCCTGCAAGCCATCTGGAAGATCTCGCTCGATCCGGGGTTTCGGGGCAGATAGAGATACAGATACAGATCGATCTCGGGAGTATGCACTTCTTATTGAACTTGTATACCTAACACCTTACATTGCAGTATGTTGTATCCTGATATAGATATATCCCCCTGTCTACAAAGTATTGTATGTATGTATCATCTCCCGTATTACACATACGCAAACACAGATCAGCAACCAAAGCCCCTAAGCCAAGACTGGAACCAATAGTCGGATCCAACCGGCCGGGAATTCGATGCGTCTCCACCCATCGCCCCACGATCGCCTACTATTGGTCTCAGCCAGATAGACTTTTCACTAAAAAGGGTATTTCCGGGCACTCGGTTTCAATAGGTCAGCCCACCTTTCAGCACCGATGTCAAGATGGAGTCAGCCGCGAGATCCAGTTCGCACCCGGGAACGACCGGTTGGGGAGTCAAAAGGTAAACGAAAACGAAGGAATTTGGCCCGGGGTTGGGCCCCAGCGAATCAGGTGGTCGGTTGATCTGCGGGTATTTAGGTTTTGGTTTGGTGAAGAAGATCATGATATTATTCTTCACTGATATAGAACACACCTAACTACAACAAACATAGTGCAATATACGTAGTACGTAGGACGTTGAACTTGCGTGTCGGATAGATCCGCTGCAGTTAGTACTGTAATGTGTGCATCTTTTATTCTTTAGACCAACAATAGTTGATACAATGGAATAATAAATTATACTTGTACACGAATGTACAGATCCTAATGCAAGTCCGTTAACTATTCCATCTCCACGGCGAAGTCCGATACTTCTCTATACTGTACCACCGCAATAACCCACGATATACCACAAGCAGCAAAAGCAAGACCGAAGAAGAAAGAAGACCCAAAGAAGAAGAACCTTACGCTCCACCCGACTACGCCCAACCGGGCCTGGCGCCAGAGGCCCGAGAGCATTCAAATACCGATCTACGGCGTACCACCGCGCGCTTCAGCTGACAAAAACTGAGGTCGCGTGGGCCCTCCAGGAATACACCGACATTTCTTTCAAACAGAGTTCTGACAGCAGGGAGGAACCGTCGTCTCCACAGCGGACGTTGTTCGCAGTTCGCAGTGAAGTATTCTGTAAAGGAGTTTCCTATATGCGATCTACAATACGGAGTATTCGTCGACGATCTCAGTAACTAGAGTTTCTCGGCCAGATCCAAGGCTTACGGCTTATAGGCTGCTAGGGACGATCAGCAGCGTCATACATATTTTCGATACTGTACATACTGTGTGGTATAGCACGTCCACAAATTATTATTAGCTCGTGGAGATATTCCTTCTCCGGATGTACTCCGCGTGTACTCCGTAGTCCGTACTGCTATACGTATACGGACCGACTTTCCACTTTCCGCTTTTCGCTCTTCGCACTGCCGAGTGCACTCCCGTGCTGTGTTGTCCAAGCGCGGTGGATGGTGGATGGATACACGAAAGTTCGCTAGTCCTTTTTTCTTTCTTATGATCCTCCGGTACGAGATGGAGATTTTCACGGAGAACCGTAGGGTCTGCTGCGCCACAGGAAAGTTGTGGTGCCACTAACTACCCCTTTACCATAGTTGCCCAGTCCGTAGACTGAATATAGTTACATAACTAGTAGTGAGATAATCCATCGTGGGGATAAGCGGCTCTCGGTGGATCTCGGCCGTGTTTCGGGAGAATCCAGACAAAGAAATTTACTAGGAAAAATCTGTTTTCAATCCCGCAAGGAGTATCGTATCATGCCATGTTGTTCCAGTAGGTACGGAGTATGTAACCTAAGAGCTGACGGTGTCCACCTAGTTAGGGGGGACGAATCGGATGAATCAGCGTGTCCCAAAACGGAATCTGCTTTCGAGGGATCCTTCCTGGATTGGCTGTGCGCCGTGGAAATATAAACCCGTAGACAGAGGTATGTATACATTGTCAGCAAAATTAGACAGCCGACGTTTGTATAGGGTACGGCTGATCGCATAGATCCCCACCGGGATAGATGAACGTGGGATCTTGATCTGGGATCGATCTCGATCGATGCCAACCCTGCTAGCTGAATATGATTATGGTTATGATCCTCGGATTATTGGATTCTCGGGGTAAACGATGTTCCGTCCAACGTAAGCACAAGAAAACAAACAGAGAACACTTGTACTAATTGTCATCAACTGAAAGTCAAAGCCGAAGAAAGGATAAAAGAACGTTGCTACTTCCTAAGTGGGCTTAGCGATATCCAGCCCGCAGACTATGCAAACTCTCCAGGCCACCGGAATAGCCAACACCTCCATCCCCATGTGGACTGGACTCACGAACTAAGCTGTCAAATGGATCTCACCTTCATGACAAATATCGAGACGCGGCTTATGTTGTGATCCACCGGCTTATTATTCCTTACATGCGGAAGAATGTGGCGGTCTGTAATAAGGCCACCTACAACATGCTAAGATAAATACAAGTGATATTGTAGTACCCCGTACATGTCTATATCGTAAATTGCTTATATCCAATCCAAAGAATGTATTGGCCATACCCAAGCCGTAATCTAATTTTAATCTAAATTTAATTTGAGATCTCATGCCCGATCCCGATCCCAATGTAGATCGGATCTGATTATCTGAACACAAATACCTTGCAGCGAATGACCGCACGCCGACCCCCCGCTAGTTCAATCGGCGGAAACTTAGTTCTCAGTCGGGACGATCTGGTGAGTTGGTGGTCTTTTTATTGGGGAATTTGGATGTGGAAAATTTAGACGATCAGCTGGGATGATAACTAGTTCGTTGCTCCATATATGGAGATCTTTCTGGAACCCGCGAATTTAAATGACAATCTAATTTTGATATCGCATATATTAGCCTAATCTGCACGTTCAATATCTAGGGTAGCGAATCAGGGAGGATCATGCCATATTGGGATGTCTACGCTTATGAGAGATGGATGCGACCCAAAGAAAAGAGATCATGCCATAAAGTTAGGTGTGAATCAGATTAATCGAGTAAAGATCTGTAGTACAAATTCAAAGTTGAGATTTTGATGATATTCAATTAGTATTGCCATCCCGAGCCAATTCCAGGGATATCCATATCCACCACAGAAGAAAAAAGTGTCGTAAACCTTGAACGTCGAAAATATCGACCAGAACATAAAATAGATGTAACGCTGAATGAGACACGATCGTACACATATCATATCAGGGACATACTCGAACAGAAGTGGAAAGAACCAAGAAATGCAGGGTATTGAGAGATAGAGGGGAACATGGAGGTAAGAACAGAACAGAACAGAACAAAACAAAACAGAACATCAAAAAAAAAATCAAAAAAGAAACCAGTTTCAGACCAGGCCGATGGCTATTGAATCATCAAAGGGGGATATCTATGCTAAAGCCGTTTTTCTCCCAGTACCTTGGAAGCTGTTGGGGGTATTATAAGAACACCGAGTAGGGAAGAGCCCCAAAAAGACAAAAGAAATATAAAAAAAGATCACAAAGGGAAGACGTTAGACCTCCCAAAAGAAAAAAAAAAATGGCCACTGAACTCCGTTGCCTTCTATTTCCCACCTTTTTCAACGCCGAAAAAAGAAGCTGAATGACTGAGAAGCTGACTGAGAAGCTGAGAAGCTAATGACTGGTTGGCGAGGAGGAGTCGAGAACCGACTTGGGCTTGAGATTCGAACCCAGGCTCGCCGCTTTGTGAGCGCCCATCTTGCGAGTCAATTTGGCGTAATGTAGGCCGCATGCGTTACACAACGTCCGGGCACCATCTGGGCCGCGACGCCATTCTGGCGTTTCGGCTCGGTTGCAGCTGTGGCAACGACCAGGAGGCGCGGCTTTCTGCAAACGGGTTAGAAAAGTGTCAAGATGTCAATACAGGGGAAAGTCTAGACTTACTCCGCGCCGTTTCTTTGGGTCTGCGCCTGCGAAACCGCCCGTGCCTTTGAAGTCTTCCTGGTACATCGCCATATGGTCGTCTTCGGTCTTGAACGCCTTGCGCTGCGCCATCTGTTCAGCCAGTGCTTGCTCCTGGTTCACCACGGCGGTGCGTATCCGAATCAGGGCATCCTGGTTCCGCCGTTGCATGTGAAGCATGTCCTCCACTTCGTTGAGCGAAGGGAGGGAGCCTAACAGCGGGCCGGAACGCTGCGTTTGATGTGCGCGAGACGCGTAGTGCCGTGAAAAGTCGAGGGTGCGCGTACTCAAGTCGGCGAGCTATTTCAGTCAGTAGGTAATTCATTTAACAAGTCATTCTTGATTTTGTCCATCGGTTCAAAATAAGACTCAAGGGCGAATCCATACCTCATTCAAAGATGTCTCCACATCATAGACGTCCAAATGCCGCTTAGACTCGTTGTGCGGAGCTAGTCGACTCACAAATCCACCCTTGACCTCTTCCACCCGTGGCGCACCCATGTAGGCCCGGTTATCGTACGGAGCCGGCGCCGGAGGATACGAGTGGCCGGACTGCGGTTGAAAAGAGTAGTTCGGAGGGAAATGGCCGTACCCATTCGGCGACGCCACGCTACCGGCGGAGGTTGGCGCACTGTACTCATACCCGGACGAATTTTGCGACCCCACCGAGGTGATTCCCGTTTTGGCGCTCTGGGTCGGGGATTTTCCCGTGCTGAGGGAGTTAAGTGAGGTGCGCGAATCCTGTGTGTTGATGGAGGCGAGACTGGAGCGCGATGCATCCTGCAGCTGCTGATGGTACGCGGGTTCCCGCATGAGAGAACCCGTCGGCGGGCCATTCGAAAACGGATTGGGCGGGCCCGCTGGTCCCTCTGCGCTCGGTCGTCCGATGAGATGTGGCGGCGGCGTAGGGTGCGAGGATTGTGGTGGCGGGGCGGAGGTTGCTGCTGGGTATGGGAGAGGGTCGTTGCCGAGGGCCTCGTGGATGGATGGGAGGGACTGTCTTGAGGTGCGTTTTTCCTTCTCGTCTTCGAGGGCGCGACGGGCCTCGGGCGACGAGATGTACCCCGGCGGTGCGTTCGCGTAGGCGTACGGCAGGGATTGGCCGTACATGACGTTGGGACTCATCAGAGTCGGAGAAGCGGTGGCGCTCGAAGGGTGTCTGGAGGTGTATCCCGATCCGTCTTTCCCTAGGAAACTCATCGCCGGCAAAGGGTCTCTGTGACGAAGGTGAGCAATGGGAGACCGACTGCGAGGTCGCAAGACCAACCTGTGCCTAGATGCGGCTTCCAAAGACCCCATCACGTTGAGAGGAGAGAATGTTGATGCGACAGGTCTGGGAGGTGAGAAGAAGGGAATGCAAATGCAAAGTCGGAGGTCGCCTCTGGTGCGACAGGAAAAGCGTTCCACCTGTTCGTGCCGAAGGAAAAAAGAGGCCCAGATCCAAGATCCAATCCAACGATCCCGGGGCGAAGGTTGGAAAGTGGCGTTTAGATGGAGCCCGAGTAACCCGACGAGTTAACCGTAATTAACTTCTTTTCTTCTTTTCTTCCTTTTTCCTTTTTTTTCCGTTCCCTCTTTTTTTTCAGATCAATGAAACTTGGGAAATCAAGAGAAGAGATAGGAATCCAAGACCACAAAGGTACCTTGAAATGCAAAAAGAAAAGAAAAAAGAACCCGATCGCACATGCAAGGGATATAAAGCGTGGAAATGAGAATGTCCATCCAAATATGAAAGCACGAGGTGGAATGGGGACAAATATAAAAGAACACACCGTAGAGAGGGGAAAGGCGCAGAATCAAAGGGGATCGAGGCTACTTCATTTCGGGCTTTAGATTGGAAACGGGAAGCTTAGAGAGGAGTACGGAGTACAGGAAGTTAAATTGATTTTTGATTTTGAATTCTATAAAAGATTAAAGGAAAGAAAAGAAAGCCCAAAAGAGAAAAAGATTAAAAAAGAAACTTTGGCAAAATAAATAAAAAAAGAAAAGATCGAGATCCGAACAGGGGGAAAATTACCCTGGGAAATTGCCAGATCGTCAGAACCTGGTTTTACAAGGCAAATTACCGACTGCGGATCATCGGGATCTTAGGGCTTTAGTTATCTGTGGGTGGTGGGTAGAGCTGTGGATAGAGGCTGTGCAATATTGTAGTTAGCATGACATACAATATAATTACATACTTGTCCGAACTCATCTGGTAATGTTCGATACATTACTACGATGTTGATGTTGTATGTTGTTGACCCACACCATCCAATATCTAGAAAAAAGGTAATCAAATGAACTGCAAAATGAACTAATTTAAATTAAATAATTCAGAAATTAGCCTACCCCGGAACCTAGGATCGATCGAGATTAACGGCCGATTCTCAACGTGCTAAGGGACGGCTGAATACCGGCAGAGTGGTCCATCAGGAAAAGAAGCTAGCGGACGATAGTTCCAGTATTCTGGAATCAGTATTCTGGAATCAATCTATTCTTATATTAAATAACAAATAGCGCAGGGCAATCATCGAGTCATTTCCAGATCGCTCGACGAGGATATGCACCCGTGTCACATGAGAGAGATCTCCGATGCAAGTGGGTAAATGTCAGCCTCGGGCGATGAGCTAAAGTCCTGGGGAGGTTATAAGTGAAGGATATGATGTCAGATCTACTATAACATAGTAATGGTTAGATCCATTCCCTGGCTGTATTACAGATGCAACCCAAGTGCCAAGGAACACAAGAATAATCAAGATCTCTGGAATGGAGACACAGCTATTTCCATCGCAACTGGGGGAATCAGAGACGTGGCTGAGGTTACACAGTCCGATCTGAAAGTGCCCGACGTGGTCCGGATGACAACGTTCCATGGTTCACTCGAGTTTAAATTATTTTATCTCTTTGTTTATTTATTTAGCATTTGGATTCATTCCCGTTCTACTTGACATACTACCATCTACCTATGACTTGGAATATACTATGACATATACTTCAGATGCAATCCTTAAGTATCCAAATACTACCTACGTCACCGAGCCACAACGTCCCCAGCCAAGATCGGGCGCAGGTGAAATCACAAAACAAAAAGCAAAAAACGCCGCCGAAAGCAATTGAAAAACAAAACCCAATTAATCACCACCTCATTCGTCCGTCTGACACGCTACCCCCTTGAGTACCCGCCTAAAGGATCGGATCGCAGGGTATTGCAACACATGTTGCTTAAGCTTTAGATCGAGATCGAACACGGGACGTTTATTGGCGAGATCGCGTGGGCACTCCATCTCAGTTTAAGACCCTGATATTACAGTAGAGACATTACAGTAGAGCTGATTATATATAAGTGAGAATCAGATACGGAAGAACAGACAGTCCTAGCAAAGTCCCGCATCAAACCCCGCTCCGATAGTGCCTAGCGCTGTCTCTATAGTGGTTTGGAACTTTGGGCTTCCAATGACTAATTCCACCGATTGACTCCATGACCAACTAACTATTCCGTGCAGCTCGCAAAAGCACCGAAGGATCAAAGCTCGTTAGGAAACCAATTTTCTGGAGCTTTGAGTTTGTTGGCCACAGCCCCACCCCGTTGGATGTCATATTCGCCCTTCACGCGCTGGCATGTGGACGAATCTTGTCTTGGCTACGGAGGCACGGAGTACTACAAATCAAAATTCTCCATTCTCTAGTTTATCAGTCCCAGTCCCTAGCGGTGGCAAGTACAACTGTTATAGCCCGATTCGCCTCCGTGATCGCACAGCGCACAGACTCGGGACCCATAGTGATGTACGATATACATCGTATGGGCCAACGGTCGGCCCAAGGTCTAAATATTGATCCAAAACCGGTGAAAGGTAATCGCGTGAGATCTTCGGAATATCAATGCGGTTGATCGACGGAGGACGCCTGAAGGAATATGTAATCTCGATCAGCCAGCCATACGGAGTACAAAGAATATATGATATCTTTTCCATGCATAAGCAAGAGCAAAGCCCGGTCTAATATTCCCCAATATATATTGAGTCAGTAACAAGGCTCAGCTCAGCTCATGCACCTCGGTGTTTAAGAATGAATGTAGTAGCGTACTCGCATAATCGCGAATCTCATCGCACAATGGACTTGTTGACGGGTCCGAAATCATCGCGAATCGATCTAGTCAGTAGTCGCTGCATTTCCAGAGCCCAATGCACCAGCCGGATCTTACGATTTCAGCCACTCTGCGATGCATTCCGTGCGCACTGGAGATTTAGCGCATGCACGGTAGGTCACTTCCACCTGCCGAGCATGAATGCAGTAAGGATCTGGCGCTGCGATTGGGGGGGATTCTCCACCTGCAGGATAATGGCGCAAGAATAATCCCAATGCTGAATCTGAGGATGAGACTGATCACAAGAGATCTGAGGCTGAACTCCCTGCGACGGTTACATTTGGATATAGTAATATAGAAAAAGTACATCATACGACAAGCCAAGTGTGGCTGGGGCGACCGTCAGGGGCGAATTTCCCCGCGATGTCTCGATCTGAACTATCAGAATCGCAACTGGTCGCACTCGCACTAGCCCGGTCGCAGGACGCTATGATGATGATGAATCATAAGTATAATTCCTGTGGTTGTTTTTAATACGGGGGAAAACAGAGCTAGTTTTTTATGTCAGTTATTCTTCTGGTTGCCTTTTTACGGCAACTGGGAGTGCAGGATGGATTACAGACACCGTGACGGTGGTTTTTTATGGGTCGCGTTCCACTGTGAATATCACGGGTTTTGCGATTGAGCTAGCTGGTGGAGAAGACGAAAATCTCTGCTTTCGGAATTGAAGATATTCAGAATTTCACGTGTTTGGCTGGAGGTATTTGAGATGGCCGCAAATGCGCCGAAATTTATCTGTAGTAACCAATGAGATGATTCTACGAGATTATCCTTGGCCAAGCGCGTCTTCCTCCTATTTACTTTTACTTTACGGTACAACCGCTAGTAGGAAAATCATTGCCTTTGCAGAAATGACTTTACAAAATAACTGGAGACAACGGGGACCACTGGAGATGATGGAGACAACTGGAGCCATGATCGTAGTAAGTTGATCGACACCGTTGACAGACCGTTGACAGCCCGTTAGCCAGATTCCAGACCGTTCAAACATTCCTGGCCTCGTCGAGTCTGACAAAAACAATCCCAGGAATGTTGTAGCACGCTATGATGTTTCCGACCAATTGTGGAGAACACGCGATAAACAGACGATCCCAGACTCCTAACCGGAAAGAGATGAGCGACAACTCATTTTCCTCAAGTTGGCAAGAGTTTAGGATGCGATCCCAATTTTAGTGCGCGTCGAGGGAGGACTATCCCTTTCCTCCGACATCCTGAACTTATCAAACTATATCATCCATAAAAGGGGGGTAACCTCCCAAACTATCTGATCTATGATCCAAGACTATTATGGAGAAACCAATCTCAGATTACAGATTCATCAATCAGCCAAGAATAATCAAGAAGGTGATCTCAATCCCGAAAATAAAAGAAACATCCCCCTCGGATATTATAAGGCCAGCACGGTTCACGTCCGCCGTACATAGTAAAATCTCCGGCAATAGCCCCAGTCACACATCATGCCATCACCCGCGACTCCGAAATGTGGCGGCTCAGGAGATTTGTTTAATTCGCCCGGTGGGGACGTTCCCGGGGATCTCTCCGATCTGGACGGAGTAGGCTCGAAAGAGTAAGTTGACAGCTGCAAGTTGACCAAAGGACAAGGACAGGGGGGGGCAGGGAGAAGAAAGAGAGGGTCCGATCCCGTCCAGGGATTGACCAAGGAGAGACGGCACGGTGGGGAAGATGGGGGGTTTGGTCTTGGAAATCAGGACACATCTGCAACGCCAATCTGCACGTACGGCAAAGGAACGGCACCAACGTTGACTGGCTCGGTTTGGGGACTAGCAGGGTTCTGACACGGCCGGAAAGGGATAGGCGATATGACGGGAGGTGATGTCCTGCAAGATGCAAGATGTCTTAGTGTGTCTTACTGGGCTACAGATTAGACCGAACTCCTCATCGAAGTGTTAGATCTAGATATCCTAAAGTTGGGAATGTCTTATTAGCTCGGTCAAATTATTGGTAAGGGCCCGCTCTATAGAATCAACATACGATTATGGTGATATTCCCCCAAGTCATATACGGAGTATGGGTTGAATCCCCACTGGCCTCTATGATTCAACGACAGCTGCACGTTTCAATCGTCCAAGCAACAGCTCAGGGATTTACTCCTTCTTCTCCCCATGTGGATTATAATCGACAGACCGACATTTAGAATCTCCACGGTGACAAAGGGGAAATCACCACCAAGGAAAACGGGGAAATCCAGCCGGACCGTTCCCAGACTCCACCAAGCCCATAAGATAGACCGCTTCGATCGGCGGGAAGGATTTCGGGTTTTGGCTTGTCGGGTTTCTCTTGGAAGTTCCTTTTTGCCTTTTCTTTTTCTTTTTCCTCTAGCTAGCCTAAGACGGGCTAGCTCACGCGAAAGGTTCTCCTGAGATTAACACGATTAGTGGCCGTTTTTACTTCCATCTACACCTGAAATAGGAAGGCAGGTCCAGCATCTCCACAAATCCCGAAAGAAACCATGATCGCCTGGGAAATCTCCGAGCAAAGGTCGGAACGGACTAGCAGCGCGCAAAGTACGTGAATGGTATATTGATAGCGTCTTCACGACGATCTCCTTCTGCTACGGAAGACAGACCCGATTCATCGATCTACGATGGATATTGCAGCCGCTAAGCAGCATGCCTGACAAACCCTTCTTCAATCTCGAACCCACCTCAGCCTAACCAGGCCGGAGCCGAGGGCCAACGGAGATTAGGTTGAGAGATTGGGGAGATTGCAACTCCATCTGCTACTCTATACTCAGCCACACGAGGAAATGAGAAGAACGGCTTGGATTAATTAAGATCCGCCGGTGGATCCCGAGTGGATAGCGACATTATTCCCTCCAGGTTTCCATCTTTCCATGGGGCTCCATTTCTGGAATATCCGAGATTGTGTTCATTATATTTACGGAGTCCGTTTTGGTGCGGAGCTCGGGAGTTATCTGCCGTTGGGCCTGTGCTGGTTGCAATGATATACGTACTCCAATGTGTGCGAAATTGGATTTTGTTTTTTGCGGGTCGAGACGGAGCACAGTTGCTGGATTTGTCTTGAGATTTGCTGCCGTGTGGGGGGGTTGTCATTTCTGGGCTTGATAATGTTGCAGTGTGCATCCGTTGGGAGGTATCAAGCATATCTATTTTAAGCAGATCGCCGTTTCTTTGCCTTTTGGGTTTATTTCATTCCAGCTACCGGATAGAGGATGGCGCGATACATTATATGGTTGACCTTCGGCGATCTCTCGGGCACTTTGAGTCTTCCAGATCTCAGTACGGCACAACTTGTATGAGTGCTTCTGCAAAGGCATCTACGTATGATGGCTGTAAGATTGTACAACAGACAAGGCAATCACGTACTATAAACAAGGTTGTACATGCAGTTATAAATCATATGCACGGAAATCCATCCGGGCCTGATTGAGTGACGGACTCGCGCCACATGCCGGTGAAGCTCAAAACGCTTCGCTATTGGACAGGTTGGATGATGATCATATTGGATACCTTCCCCGTCGCTGTCACACAGAGGACTAGCAAGGATGTTAGGACCAAAGCTTCAACGAGGTTGCTTGGCAACAGGTTATCATATTTATTCTTGATATTATTCTTGATATTTGCAATTAGTATTACTACTCCGTAGGAGATCTTTTTCCAAACAAGTGGCAAATGCATTTCTCACCTTCCTGACTTGTAACATCAGGGATTTCAATAGTAACAGATATATATACGAATGCGAGGGTTGATACAACCGCGCCAATCACATTCATGTCCCAGTCCAAACTCAAAGCGCGAATCGAGGGTCCAGTCCAGATGCACATCCCAAGCTGCAGGTATGGCCCATTAGAGCCTTGACAGGTGGGATATGCACCCAAGACTTTTGACGTATGCATTAGGAACAAGCCTAGCCCTGTTACATATCGCTTTGGACGAATAGGATCCCGCTGGTGATCTCGAATAGAGTTTTTCCTGAATCTGAGCTACCACACGCCAAATAGGAAGTCTTCCGCTGATTGGAGAGCTTTGAATCTGACAGCTGCGCGGTTCCGACGTTCCGCCTGAAGAGAATGCCATTTGGAATTTGATCACTTGGAATTTCGCATGAACCTGAGAATGCCATATTTCTCCCCTCGAAGTTGTATTTTTATGTTTTCTCTGTTTCTTCAAAGACAAAAGTACGAAATCCTCCCGCTTTGATCTCACGTATCCACCCGATCCTTGTTCACTCATACTCCGTACTTTTATGGAAATCTCCAATGGAAGTTAACAGAAAGAACGGGTTCGCCCTGAGTGGCCCTCGTACGATGGCAATTTGAGAAGCGGAGCCGGCCAGAAATTTTCGGTTTTATGTTTTCCCCGTACATTTCCCTGCCAATGGGCCAATGACCTATCTCAATGCTATTTTTGTCTCTTCAAGGGGAAGATAACTGGCCGACTAGTGGCAATGGGCCCAGCGGAAACAGATGCCATCGACAAGCATAACCCAAGGATCGGCAAATCGTCGAATACACTAAAACACATGGGCTGGGTCCCCGCAGATCCGTGTCATATCGGTTGAAAGGGGAACTGCCGTGAAAACGGCGGTCCACGGTTGATCTGACAGGGTGTGGTAGGGTCTTCACGGTGGGGAGAGGTGGGCCAGAGAAAACACGCCTCCACTTTCAATAATTCCCGATGAACGCCGTAATTTGATCCCCGATACCGAGTGAAGGGGCCTGTACCTAACCCCAACGCAGTCAGGGCGCCGGCGGTCTGGGCAGCGTGGGCAATGGATTTACGCGCCTACTCCTTCTCCCTTTGAGCAACCCGGCGTTATTTTATGGGCGTCAATAGTACATACATAGTACCCTCCGTGCTCGAGTTCCACCTCTGAAGAAACTTCACATAAACTTCGATAATCGGTGTTGTATGGCATGATGGCCTGATCCACTGGGAAAAGGGCATCCATGTGTCACCGCGGTCTGGCGCCAATCAATTCGTCGCCTGCTGGCCCCTCCACTGCTGTCCACGATGCCAACTCCCTGGGCCTGGCTCTCGGGTCGACCTACTCCGTACCTTTTCTGTTTCGGATCTTATAGGGCCAATGATAGGAGTCCTGGGCCCGAGGCTTGAGCGGCACAGAAGCGTCTCTTTAGGCTAGGTGCAGGCGGTAATGCAATGCAGCTTGCCGCATGGAGTACATTGCAGCGGGATAACTCGAAACAGATCCTGACTATCTCGTGCGGAGTGAGTACAAAGTACAAGGTACAGGGTAGAAAGTACAAGCACATGGAGATGGGTATTGTATCAGACCGAGTCAGGTTCTAGTTATGGTAAGGCTGTTATTTGTCAGGGCTATTGTGCTTGACTCATGAGCAGGGACATATTTTCATATTGATTTTACCAATATAGGATAAGGAAACATTTGATCTTGGTCTTATTCCCTCTTGTATTGTGCTTGATCTTATGTATGTGTGAATATATATAATTTGATGCATTGATGCGCTGATGCATCGCTGGTTTCACCGTACCACCAAGGTTGTTTGCTTCAAAGCAGGCTACATATATATATACCACTCTCTATCAAAATATCAACTCTCCTTTACATCTCCATCTCTAGTAAAAGTCATCAACTCATATAAACACAACGGCGTGACCATGCCTCGTCGAGCGGCCCGTGCACGGAGCTTGGCCTATCCCCACTTTGAGCTTCCAGTAGGACACACCTTCCTCTTCAATTTATTTTTAGGTCCAGTTGCGACTAGATTTTTTAACGTCATGTCTTCAATCCTAGTTCTGGCTGATATTCCTACCGTGACACTTCTGTACCGTGCAAAAAAGCTCATTCCTTCGTCCTCGAGATTTCCGCCATCCCAGTCTCTCAACAATACCATCTCTATCGTCCGCAATGACATCACCAAGCTCCAAGTGGACTGCATTGTGAATGCTGCTAATCGTTCTCTCCTCGGAGGTGGCGGTGTGGATGGTGCAATCCACCGCGCTGCCGGTCCCAAGCTACTTCAAGAATGCCGCGGTCTTGATGGATGTGACACTGGCGATGCGAAGATCACCGATGCCTACGATCTGCCCTGCAAGCGTGTGATCCATACAGTCGGCCCAATCTACAGAAAGGAAGAAGACCCTGTCACGCTCCTTCGATCCTGCTATCGGCGCAGCCTGGAACTAGCAGTCGAAAATGGCATGAAGAGTGTTGCGTTTTCCGCCATCAGCACCGGAATATACGGCTATCCCAGTCGATACGCCGCTGAAGATGCCATCAAAGAGGTGCGGAAATTCCTGGTCGGGCCTCATGCCGGAAAGCTGGAGCGTGTCGTATTCTGCAACTTTGAGCGGAAGGATGTGATTGCCTATGAAGAATTCATTCCGTGAGTTTATTCATTTCTCGCTTTTGAGCAGATACTGATGATGACTATAGTGAGTATTTACCTCCCACGCCGGAGGACCTGGCTCAGAGCAGCGACGCTTGAGTAGCCATGCTAAAATGTTGCTCGCCTTGCTTGGTACATGCCCCGACACGATTGACGACCGCTACTACATGACCTGAACGAAACATAATCTTTGCCAGCCTGTAATACCACGATAGCTACGAAGGAGATTTGCTAAATATTCTAAATATTCCTTGACGAATCGTAAGTCCCAGTGTTTCTTTCTCTATACTGGTAACACGTAAGGCGAAGATGAGACATTGACCAGTTCGTACCCATACTACAGCTGTCATATCAGTAAGTGCGATGTTATCGTTGAGATAGTCCTGTAAGCAGCTTCTTTCCTCTCTGTATTATCTCGACGTAGACAAGTATCTTAGTTACGATCTCATTCCTGAGATCGTCCACAGGTGAATGCAAACAATGCAAACACCTATCAGATCGCGCCTCGATCACGATTCCAGCTCGAGATGACTTCACTCCAATTCCAATTGCAAGTCTCTCGATAACCAAAACCGCATAATGAAACACAACAACCCTCACTGAACACCCCATCTCCAACAAAACCGATCCCCCCGCAAACCCCCCAACCCCTCGCCCTCCGCCCAACACCAAAAAATGTCAAAACCACACCGGCCAAGAGGAATACCAACCCCGAATTCACGGTACCGAGTGCAAGTCCACGAAGAGCCAAAGCCCAAAATCCCAGATCCTATAACATACGAGGGTCCATCCCTCTCCAAAAAACGAACACCCTTCATCTCCCATTTCTTCACGAACCTCCGCCAACGCCTCTCCGCCCTCCCATACCCAGTCCGACGAGCATGTAGGACTCTCAGCTGGGCGGTACCGATGCTCCCGATCGCGCTCTTCATTCCAGAACACGTAATGCAGGTGATGTGGGTTCGCGGGCCGTCAATGACACCATACCTGAACGAGGAGTATGAGCAGACGCACACGAAGAGCGATATGGTCATGGTCAATATGTGGCCGTGGGGATCTATACTGCCGTTTAAGAAAGAGCGGAAGTTGGAGCGGGGGATGATTGTTACTTTCCGGTGGGTTGAGTGCTTTGCTTTGCTTTGCTTTTACTTCGATTTTGAGTTTTATATCTTGTTCTTTTGAGTCGCGTGCAGCCAATACTGATATATTACGCATAGCTCCCCTGCAAACCCGTCTCATATCGCGATCAAGCGCATCGTCGGTCTACCAGGTGACCGCATCACGACTCGCGAGCCGTGTCTGCGGAAAACGCAGATTGTCCCCTGGAACCATGTCTGGTTGGAGGGTGATGCGGAGGATCCGCGGAAGACGCTGGATAGCAATACGTACGGGCCTGTTAGTCTGAGTCTGATTACGGGGCAGGTATTTGCGGTGCTGGGACCGCGGATGCGGTGGCTGAATTGGACGGACTGGGACTCTGATAAGGGGAAGGGGGAGTCTGCGTCGGATGATGCGGCGTATAGACAGAGTGTGCGGGACCGTGTTCTGAAGGATGCTGTTCAGCTCGAGCAGCCTTTTTTGAATTGATTTGTTATAGATGGGGCTTGGCGTATATCTTGGCCTTTGTATTTGTTGATAGTGCTGGATTTCCTAGCGATTTTGACTGGGCCTTGTACATATATTAGGGAGCCTTGTAGATATCATTATATTACTATTTTGAGTAAAATGCTGTGCTATGCGTGTGCGAAAAGAGCAAGTTTGCGAGAACGAAAAAATAAGTGAAGACGAAGCGCTATAAAACAGGAACTGAATGGCTAAGAAATGCAGACAACTGAGGAAATGAATCAGCGATCTAGAGAAACAAGCCGTATATCTTCATGTTTCTCTTCCTGGAGACGGTCAATCTCCGAGGAAATACTCATCACCCAACGGTCCTTTTCCACACGACTACGTGTTTTAAAGACGATGGTGCGGCCATGCTTGCCCAGCGTGGACACATGACGCAAGGATCGTTTGGCTTTGCCTTCTTCCCCTATTTCCTGGGCTCGGAAGTAGCTCTTACTCAAGGGTTGCCAGATCACGAAGGTGATAGCAGTATCCTCATCGTGACTTGTGAAGACATCTGAATCGAGATACACCCGTGGTAAAGCATGCACACCAGGGTTATTGCTGTCGAATGTCTGGTTGGCATACAGCAAGTCGTTTTCGGTAATTAGACCAGAATAAATATAGCAATCTTCCAGCTCGATGGATGTTTCAAGTTCTTGATGGATGTGTGGGATCACGGTGCCATTTCGCCGGCGCAGTGTGCTGCGGAAAATTAACAGCTTGCCTGCTGTAAGGATGACATCGCATTGGTAGAAAGTGGTGTGGCGACGGGGCTTGCGGTAGAGGGTGCCGGACATCTGTTGATGTTGTCAGTAGGGTGCATGTATTTCCGATGTTACGCTACATACCTTGATAGTCCGACAACTAGACAGCGAGCACATGTTGTGCAAGTGTGGAGATGCCTCGGCTTTCGACACCTCCCACTTCTTCGCGAACTGTCCGAAAACGGATTCCATAGCTTCGTCGATACCCAACAGCTTGAGATTGCGCTGACGTACGGCCTGCAGCTCCGTGGCATCGTCCGCGCAGCGAATGTGCCAATACTTCACCAGCGCATCAATTCGTTTGACCCACTCGTCCCGTGTGGCACCATCGTACGCCTGCAGTCGAACGACAAGACCATTGTTTAGAACCAATTCAAATGTTCTACCGTCGTCAAACTCTTGCGTTGCCCCGTCATCCCGTCGTGAGTCTCTGGTTTGGGGATTGAAGTCCACAGCAGGTCCTTCCCCGATATTGGGATCAGCAGGGCAGCTGCCACGATAGACATTGCGGACTTCTGTCACCCGACACATATCGATATACCCATCTGCCTGGCTGATATTGTGTACATTCCTCTGCACGTTCGCAAAGGCCTCTTCATCGTGTCGTTTCACGAACTCACGATTGCCGCTGGAGAGCCATTTAATCTTGTTACTTTCAAGGGGATAAGGGTCGATATCCCAAGAGAGCGGCATTTGATCCAATATCTCACGGGCACTTGGTACATTTCCTTCTTCTGGGGGATCAAATTTCGGCGGTGACGGGGGAAATGCCCTGGCTGGCCGACAGAACAACAAATAATGATCTTGGGTAAAGAAGTACAGCCGTTTGAGGAACATCTTGTTCATCCGCTGATGCACACCCTTCTGGGATGTGAGACGGACTAGGAATCCTTCGATCGGGGCAGGTTCCTCCTGTACATCCGGGTGTCTGATTGTAGTAGAGTAATGATGTCTTGGTCGTAGCTCAAGCTCGTGGGATGACTGCATCCCAATGGTCCCATACATCTTCTCCTCGTTGACTCCAAATACCCACTCAAGTCGGTCGTACCGCTTCCAAGCAAGTCCCATCTTCTCGGTCTTGGACCAAGCTTTCAAGACCTCGGCCCACTCGGCACGGCCTTCGAGCATATCCATGCATCCTCGGATGATGGTAGCGGCAGCAAACTTGTCATCGACGGCTGGCCGGTTAACAGTTGGATTGTGCTCCGTATCAGAATCATCTGCTTTCAGCCCTTCCTCTATCCGACCGAAAGGATTTTGAAAGATGAGGGAAACCCCCAGATCAGGGACGTGAATAGGGAGGGAGGTGGGACGCCGCCATCCAAGCACCTGGCGGATGAAAGTGTACCATTCCGCAGAGTGCGCCGAGGACTTTGGCCGAAGGATAAATATTTTGGTTCCATGCTTGCGGGGACGCCAAATAACGATGGTCTTGTCGAGAGGGGAATAGAAGTTAACATGGGTATCTTTGTGGTTAAGCTTTACTTCGTAATAAGGAGGCGTTTTGCTGTTCGCACGTTGCATATCAGGAATCACGCGAGTGCGGTACATCTGAATGGCAAATGGCGCATGCTCTATAGAGCTTTTGCGGCATACGACGAGGAACTCTCGCCATTTATCCACGGTCCGCGTTTCCATGCGCAAACTGTCATTCTCGGTATAATCGGCGGGAAGTCTGTCCTGCAGAGTCTCCTCCACGCAGACCAGCATTTTTTCTGCTTTGACAATCTCTCCGTCCTGCACTTTCCGGCGGTGCGGTCGCTTGGCAGACATAGTACCTTGGGTCTTTGCAATCTTATGGCGCATCTTTTGCTCCTTGTGTCTGATGTTGTCACCCAGGTTGTATTTTGCCACCTTCGCAGGGATTCTCCGTTGGATTCGCGCATCTTCGCCAGTATCATCTTCATCTTGTGGGTCGTGGTGTTGAAGCGATGCTCGAGATACGCCAGATAGCTTGCTTTTATGCTTCCCCTTGTCCGTGTCCTTGTTTTGAATCAGCTGAGTTGTCGAATCGGCCTCGCTTGGAACTATGGATGTATTGATGGTTAGAGGGTTGGGAGAAGAATGACCGGCCAAATTTGTATGATGTGAGCCCGGGGACTTTGGTCGCAGCTCAGGCGGTTCCAGACTGCTAGATCGTACGGTGGGTATTGATCGACTGGTATCAGGGCTGGGGGCCTCTTCTCTGGCGGTGACAAACGAAGATGAAGCAACATCATTGCTGTCTATGTCGTATTGCCCCCTTGGTCTGGCTTTGGGGGTGCTGTCTGTATCTTCGCCGCTGTCTCCTTCGCTATCCCCGGTGTTTGCTCTGTCGTATTCCCCGCTATGTTCTCTAGTCTCTGTGTCGTCTGCCGGCTCTGTGGGTAAGGGGTCGTCACCGCTGGCCTCAGCTACAGGGTGGGTTAGGGTCCTCAGTTCCCCCACAGGCTCTGCTGCAGATTCTGCCTCTTGTGTTTCTCCTTCAATCTCATCACATCGCTCCGCAGCAGCATCATCCGTGCTTGTGTTGGTAAGTGCCAAAGCGACCTGCTCATCCAAGTCGGGTGACGCTGGGGTGGGCTGATCGTTGTGCTCCTCGTAATGGGCCGCAATAGGGCTTGCAGAGAACGTGACGGCATGCGATGTATAGTTTCTGACTTTCAGTCGAGACCTATACCAAGACTTGCGATGACCGTGCAGCCAGCCTTCTGGAATTGGACCAACGAAAAATCTCCGGTTCGTCATGTGCAAATGTTTGGCAGAAGCATGACGCTGTCAAGAAATAGATCAGTTCTGCAACTCAACTCAAAGGATGGTGACATACCAATTGCTGGTCTGTGTATGAGCCAGTCCGCAAGCCATGATAATCTTCATGGTATGACGGGCGGGAGTCGGGTTCTGGTCGTGAGCCATTGGCCCCGTCTGGTGGAGAGCTCATGTCAATCTATTATGCAGTACCCTGGTAGACCAAATGGCATGCACCAGACATATGCAGGAGCAAGCAGATGGCCCAGGCACAGAACTTTCGATCGCCATGTGATATGGTCCGATGACGTCGCTGCCAGGTCAAACGCTGCAAACGATGCAAACAAGTTGTTGACACTTCACCGCGTTGGTCTTGTTTACTCTGTTTGCATCCTCCCGTGGTCTCCACATCCCCCGTGCCCCGCCATTGGCTTGCGTGGCAGCAGCGGTGAAGTCGATAATATCCAAGGGTCCCCTGATTAAGCTCCTTCCAAGGTTTCTCTTTCTCTCACTATCTATCTTCTACTTGAATTATTCTGTAAAAATGGCTGCTATCCCTGCTGACGGAACATGGTTTGATACCATCAACAAGTCCTTCGCCGATGTCCCTATTGGTGCGGACGATGGCATCTCGACCACGGAGTTCCTCGAGGCCGCCGAGTCACTGGTGACTCTCTTCGGTGCGTATTGTTCCCTTGCATAGACCTGCCTCAAACTAATGCAGAGAACATTTAGATGTGCTTGGCTCTGCCGCTTTCACCCCGGTCAAGAATGACCTGCTCGGCAACATCAAGGTTCGTCCACATTATACCGCCGGTGTCAACCCATTCTAAAACCCCACCAGAAAGTCCGTGAGCGCCAAGAGGCCGCTTCTGCAGAGTCTGAGACCCTGCAGGCCCTTGTCCTGAACGAATTGAAGACCGGCAAGCATGTCGCCACCGAAGGTCTGGTCTGGCTGGTCCGGTATGTTCACATGTCTCGATCGTGAAATGGCCAATTGCAATGGCATCTCTTCGATTTGCACAATCTGCATGAACCATTGACTAATCATTGTTCTTCTCACAGAGGCCTCGACTTCACCGTCCAAGCCCTCCGTAACAACATCGACAACTCCTCCGCGGAACTCTCAGACTCTTTCCGCGGTGCCTACGGCAACACCCTCAAGCCCTACCACTCCTTCTTCGTCAAGCCCATCTTCAGCGCGGCCATGTCTGCCACACCATACCGTAAGGACTTCTATGCGAAGCTGGGTGAGGATCAGGAAAAGGTCGCTGTGGCGATGGCCAAGGAGGTCGCTGCTTTGGAGAAGGTGATCGCCATCCTCAAGGCTTTCCAGGCTACCAAGCCTGCTCAGTGGAAGTAAGTTTGCCCTGGAGGCCTTACCACTGGATTAAACATGTGCACTGTGCAACTTAATATGTAAATATTCGATTTGGGTTCATTCCAGCATGCGAGTTTGTATTATGTAGCGAATTCACTGTTTTGGTCAATCTACCTAGGTAGAGCATGGCGTATGGGGTCGAGATCTGAGCGTCGCGCTTATAAATCGTAAGCTTGCGAACGGGACCCTTGTAAGAAGTAGATCAGTCGGTCTATAATAGGACACGGCAAGACAACTCGCAGCATACGTCATAGCAAGCTTGAAGTTCTGCTGCCAATACCGCGCGTTCGGTTCGCTTGCTCGCTCTCGTTCCATATGCGACGAGCATGTACAACCGAGGGCAGTATCACGACCCGTTGACTTGGTACGGAGTACTCCGTACACTTGAGTAGGTAGATCAGCCTCTATCTCAGCCCCACAGGTAAGTGTTCCCCGAAATGCCGAGGTCAGGGGGAGATAACCCGGTTATATATCTGCCGTTTTAACTTTGATCTGTCATATCCTTACCAAAATAGAAAGGGTTCCATCTTCTACCGTACTCCATACCGCGATCCAAAGTTAGAGAGAATAGCCTCTCGGCACTTAGGTCCAGAGGGCCTGACCCAGAAGACCCCGTGCGCCAAGGATATTCTTTACCGATGGTAAGGGTGGCCTGAGAGTCGGGTACACTGAGACCCATATTTGATTGTGATCTAGGAGTATAAGTAAATCCCGGGGTGATCATATATTGTCACAATAAGGCCAGGATAATATAGGCTAGATATACAATAGTATTGTAGTGCTCATACTGATACAATAGCAGCTTGACATATAGGTAGTCAGAGAATGGTCCAAAGACAGCAAGATTGTCGGGATGTTGTGGGTCAGAAGTTAGTGCCAGGTAATTTCCGACACAATATACTGCAGATCGTACCACCTCCGCCGAGGTCCCCGCTGATCGAGTGTTTCGTCTCACACTGGTGACTGGACCATCTGAAGGTCTTCCCCCTTAAGAGGAGACGGTTTGCGTATCAATCAGATCTCGATATCGAAACTCCAGATCAGTTCATGTCCATCAGTCCATCTGTTCGAGATCTCGGGCAAGTGCGGGAATATCGTCAAATATTTGCCAATAGTTTCCTTGGCAATGCATGTCACAAACCCTGGTCAAGGATCGTCTACTCCGTACCATACCCTGGGATTGCCAGGTTGAGGGTAGGCGGGAGTGCTTCCCCTGACGACGGATGGCAACTTTGGTTAGGGCTTCCCGTTGTAGAATGGTCCGACACTAGCATCACGGTAGCATCGCGGTATATACGGAGTACACAGGATCACGGACTGGGATCTTTTCTAGCGACTCCGCTGGTCATAGGTGATTGGCGGGAATCAGTGGAGTCCATGGGCTGGTATCATAGTTTTTTGGCTTCCCGACGTCGTATTCAGAACAGTCGCCCGGCTTCCACAAGTTCGGTGCGACTTCTCTTTGAAGGCTAGATTCCGTCTTTGCATGAAGAACTTTGGTTGCTGGAGGTGTTATTGGAAGGGATTGCCGTTTTGATTTGATTTTGAGTTCTCGACCTGCTTCCCCCACACGTGAAACCTTCACGGTCCCAAGGTTCCAGCAGCTGTCTAACCCCATCTTAACCAACATGCATATCACCGTTGGCCAGGGATATTGACTCCGTGGAGGCTTTTAAACGGGGCGACTTTCTTTTGCCTAATTACCTAATTAACCCTTTTCGCCTTTTCTTTTCTTTTTTTTAGAAAAATCGAAACAACTAGGATAGTATCATGGCCCCTCTCATGTTGTAGCCCGTTCTCGCCACTGATGCTCGTGATCGTAAGGCTTGATCTGCATGGTAGCGGATTTTCCCTTAGGGTAGTAATTTCCTCTCGCTAATATATCGTATTCTTGTTGCTCCTTCGGATATCCTTGCATACTTGGTAGGGAAACTATACGGGCCATGAATTGGTGACCATACATTCATTCTCCCGGTCAAGATGTTGCCCCTCGAAGGCCGCAGCGAGTCAATCTTTATCGTTACTACTGTCTTTCTTGGAATTTCATTCATTGCCGTGGTTCTACGATGCTTCGTGCGCATTCGCCTTGTCAAGGCCTTTGGCTGGGATGATACCTTTATGGTATGCGCCATGGTATGTATGATAGTTTCATGTGCACTTGAAACCGGACTGATTGAATTGCAGCTGTTGAACATCCTGTTCGCTCTATGCGGTATCACTGGCGCATTATATGGAATGGGCCAGAGATCCGATGATCTCGTGAAGAAGGGTACGATGGAAACCGCAATGTTTGTATGTCCACCTTCAATTCCAAGATGAAAATCACATGCTAAACCTTCCCAAAGTGGTGGTGGCTCGGTCAAACCAGCTATGTGTGGACCTGTTCACTAGCCAAGATCTCCATCGCGTTCGCGCTCCTCCGCTTGACAGTCTCTAATCCCCACAAACTCGTGTTATGGGCTGTCATTGCCGTCACTTGTACGATTGGTCTGGTCTTCTGGTTCATGTTGACGCTGCAATGCCAACCGGTTGAGTTCTTCTGGCAACGAGTTCGCCTTTACTCGAACCCTCATGCCAATGTTCATGGCACCTGCATGGAGCTGGACCATATCATCGCCATGGCCTATGTCTACAGTATCACTGCTACAATTTGTGATCTGACCCTGGGTCTTTTGCCGATTGCCCTGGTGTGGAACCTGCAGATGAACATAAGGACCAAGTCTGCCTTGGCGGGTATTCTGGGAATGGGATGCATGTATGTCTACCCTTGGAAACCCTAAAATGAGACTTAGTACTGACCTATTGATTTAGCGCGAGCGCAGCAGTCATCATTCGCATTCCTTTCTTGCACGACTACAAGGATGTCGACTTCCTATGTGAGTTTCTATTCTTATACACACTCGATAAGTGAAATGATCAACAACTAACACCACACTCCCAGACGCAACCACCAACATCTCAATCTGGTCCAACGTCGAAGCCGGCCTCGGAATCGCCGCAGGCAGTCTGGTAACCCTCCGACCCTTATTCCGCTGGTTTCGCGATCCCAGCTCGGCAGGAGGAAGCAAGAGCAAAACCAAGCGCACCGGCGGCAGCATACCCCTCTCCAGCATCAACGGAGGCCGCTCCACCATTTCAGGCCCGCAATACTGGCGGCCAGACCTAGACCGGCCAGACCAACATGCCGTGGTAACGACGATTCACACCTCAAATGGGTCCGCCACTAGCCGGTCAAGTAGCCAGGAAGACCTGAACCCGAAAAACGGTACCTTCTTTCAGGGGGTGAATGTCCAAAAAACGTTTTATGTTTCGGAGGATCAGTCATGACTGGCTGTGCCGGAGTTAGATAGGCTATAATATATCTAAACTTTAATGTTTCCTTTTTTGCTCTTTGCCTTTTGCTCTTTGTTTAGAACAACGGCTTGTACGGAGTACACGATAATAACGTATTCTACACTGCCCCGCCCCGACCGGCCCCCAGATTCTATTCTCACACACCGGGATCCACGTGCTTTTGTCAGTTATCATGATTCATTACGCTTCGCGTTCATTAAGTACATGGTATGGATCAAAGCCGGCGAAAGGCCGGCATACGCTATCCCGTTTGTAGTAACAGTCCCACTCTGTCTTGCTAGTGGCGCATGTTCCGATAGCAGTTGAAACGAGCTAGCTATGCCGGATGACGTTGTCTAGCCTGAGTGTTGCTCTGTGTATCCTCTTTGCGCAGGCGGAAACTGACATCGGTAAAGGCGGTAATCACATCATTTTTGACATATATTTCATTTCTTTTAGATTAACTGGCTAAGCGCGGCACAGTTTCTAATTCGATACTATTTTAAATATTATGTTGTTCGAGGCTTATACCGATATTGCACGGCATGGTGTGAGCTCCCAGGGGCTTCGTGGGCCTATGATATTGTAGGAAGTTGCTGAAGCTGGGCTAATTCATCCGTGCCCTAGCCTGGACCCTTATTAGCGTCGTTCACACCTAATGAATATGGCAAGAATCAACAACTGACTAACTAGTTACTAGCTATATGTAGTTAGTTGTAGGCACGTTCCAGTTGCAGGGTCAGTTTCGAGTTCTACTCTTTGTCTCCGATATCGCTCGGTTTCTTCATACTCGTAGCAGCAATACATATTCCCGTCGTCTTTACTCCGTAGTGGATAAGGCGTCTTCAGATTGGGCCGACATGGTCCCCGCTTCGTTATCAGATGATTCCCCGGGTTGAAAACTCGGGATTAAACTCGAGGCGCGCACAAGTGTCGTGTTGGGAGAGCCGTTTGAGCCTCTTGGCCGCAATGAATGAAATTCCACTTCATCCATGTTTTCTCATGATTCTCGAGATCACTGGCTTGGGATAAAGCTGCAGAAATGTCATCGTTTCAAAAAACATTCGGAGTGTCTGCTAGCTCTGTTGATTGATCCTCTTCATCCTTACCGGCTGCTTGGATTCTAGCAGTACGAGTCAAATGCCACATTAGATTGAGTAATAATTGGAATTAAACTATAGTGTATGTAACGAAGAAAATAGTCTGCGATCTGATTCGGATGTGCGCTGATAGATAGGGAGAAAAGGGCGAGAGCTATCTCTCTAGTATGTACAAACGGGATCTGGTCCATGCAGGCATCCAACAGTAACTCATATGAAGATAGTGGCCGATTGATCGGGTCATCGGCCGTAGCCGTGAAGATTTCTCGAGTGAACCTCATCTATATGATATAGTTCATGTCTTTAGCACAGCGGCTATGTATTTTGGATCTTTGCTCTCGAAACTTTGAAAGAATGCTCGGTGGTCGTCCTAGCTTGCGGCTGGGATAGGGAGCCAGTGAAATGCGATGGGCATCGGGGTCTTTTGCCTTGGTGATATAAATAGGACAAGAGACATATGTTGATATGCCAGATACAAATCATGTTCTTCGTGTCAGGAAATATAGCCTCAATGGCTTTCATCAACGCCTCTTCTTTATTTGTGAGAATCGTAGGGGGATATTTTAGGCCAAGCGATTCATACGCTTCGGCGAGACGGTCAAGGATGAGTTCGTATGTGTCCTGCTTCTCGTTCTTCATGAAGGCGAATCCAATATGGAAAGTCGATCCTGTGGCTGCAAAGCCAACAATGGCGAGTAACGGAAGACCGTAGCGGTTTGTATTGTACGTATGATCCATTGATATGACCCACAAATCAGATTTGAGCATTGCAATATATACAATATTGCACAATCCTGGTATGCGAACTTGGGTTGCCAGAGTGAAGTTGTATGTAGGCTTTGTGTTCATCAAGTCTTCGCAAGCTTTCGGCCTCCCCCTTTCGTATATCCTCCCGATCCTAGGAAACTTCTAGGTCATGTGAGGTGTACTGTGCCAGGTATATTGCGGACCATGCGACTTTCTCGACGCCGATCATCCTCAAGCTTCGACAAAGGGTTTCGGGTATCACTCGGTGTGCCACGACGAAGAAGTGGGTTATTTTTCAGAGCAGAGGAGTAGATGGAAATTAAAGTGAGAGAGAAGTGAAGTGCGCTCGCCAGGTCCAGTCGGTGCTATCGTTGGGGACCTTAGCTGAATCCCAGCAGTCTCGTCTCCGAATGATCAGAGTTGACGGTCATGTCTAAGAATCATTAGCTCAATATGACCGGTAGCTATGTATTGATCCGACTGAAAAACTTACATTTAGATGTGCTTCCTCGGTGTAAGTCCAAGTTGCCAACCACCGTGCCATGGATGCACTTAACTGGGTTTGTCCGTGGTCCTCATCAACGGAGATGGAGGTTGACGAAAGAAAGCAGAGTTGAGCGAAAGAAAGGGAAGGAAAGACGGAATGATAGTGTGGGGAGGGTAATTATATATGTCGGATGATTTTCTGACAAGAGATTATTGAAGAGGTTTGCGTTGCCATCAAATGTACCAACACCAGGTACAGTATAATTAAATTAAAATAGCATTCAAGTAGTTATACAACCCTATATGACAGTGTCATATACAGTTATGCTTCTCAACGGGCTGCAGGATGCGCTAAGACCGCCACCTGCATGTCTATATTCTACCAAAGACCTTGTTTCCGTCCATGGAGCACTTTTTCGCTGCTCTCTTCAACAGCCCGGCCGGGCTAGCTCAATCGGTAGAGCGTAAGACTCTTAATCTTAAGGCTGCGGGTTCGACCCCCGCGTTCGGCTATTCCTAAAACCAAACCTGAGATTTCTTTTTTGCTCTTTTCTTTTGCACTTTATGAAAGCAAGCACCGCGGAGGTCAAGGGCTGAGTTCCCTGTCATCAATAATGTAATGCTGACACGCCAAGGATTAACCCTGAAAGAGAAGCTTCCCAAAGACCGGACTATATCAAGATTGGAAGGCTTGGTGGGTCACACCCGCTTAGTCATATTGAATTCGGGGCAGCCCTGGACGGGATAACCATGGGAACCTCACCCTCATGCTTCACCTTATGATCAGCAACAATGGGTTTGCCGCCTCTTGACTCGGACATTAAGTTATTATCAATCAAAAGAGACATCAGACACTCAGGCACTTCTTCGATTTATGAGATCAATCTTGGCAGCAACCGCTATGCAATGAAACTGGTGGGTCATAGAGTGGCTCTCGCTAGCATTGGACTTGAGCCTAATACCGGTCGCAGTTCCACGATGAGAATGGAGATCCAGGATTTGCAGACAACGGCAGGGATTTGAATCGGTTTCGTTGTGAATATAACGCCTATACCAACTTGCTAAATTTCGATGTATGCGAAAGCGGGCTCGTCCCACGTTGCTATGGGTATATCGATCGCCTCGATCCATCCTCTTTTCGCCCGCACCTCGACCATTTCTTAACCGATGAAATGCATCCGAGAGCTATCATACTCGAGTACTTAGAAGGTGCCGAAGAATTAAACTGTGTTAACTATTCCGAAGAGCGTCTGCAATTGGCCATCCAAGGGATGAAGGAAATCCATCGCGCTCTTATCAATCACCATGATGTTTATCCGAAAAATATCCTTATTGTACCTAGTCGACCGTAGCGAGTGGTGTGGATAGATTTTGATGTTGCAATGTCCTTAAAGACACAAGATTCGATGGGACGGAAAGGACAGTTGGAATGCGAGCATGAAGCCAAGCTGCTTGCTAGCTTTGGAGAAATACTGGTAAGTCTTCCCCTCGTTCAACATTGTGCCCCTATAATTATAGAAGACTGATATACGTTACCAGCGCGAGGATCAAAAGCAGGGTTTGCCTCCGAATACAAAATTTTATTAGACTAGGATTTGCATACCATCGTGGCCATGTCTCCCTAGGTGCAATCTTATAATTTGTGCACCTCGTAAATGAATAAATGTGGAGACCCACAGCCAGGACTATATAGAGTGAGTATATACTTCTCTGGATTATCCCGTCGACACCGACAGTTACTTTGTGACGTCAATCTTGGAGTTAAGAGGGCACTAAAGTAAGTTCCGTGTCATCAGTATCAATCCCAAAAAGCTTCCCATTGAACAGTGATACTAGACAAAAGACATATATATCGCAATTATATCTTTCTCTTTTTATCGTTCTTTCACACCTAGTCAAACAACAATCTCAATTCCACTATGAGCTCCGTTCAAAAAGTTGATTTCCTCAGCAGAGGAATCAAGCTCGTTGGCGATGTGTTCCTCCCTCCTGGGTACTCCCCCAATACCAAGTACCCGGCGGTCATAATCGCCCATCCTATGACTGGAGTGAGAGAGCAAGCCCCGCGTGTTTATTCGGAAGTCCTGACACCTGCCGGGTTCATCTGCCTTACATTTGACGCCGCCTACCAAGGCGAAAGCGAGGGCCAGCCAAGGTATCTCGAAGACCCAGCCCAACGAGCCGAGGATGTCAGGGCCGGTGTTACCTATCTTTCTCTGCGCAAAGACGTCGACCCAGAACGAATTGGAGCTCTTGGTATCTGTGCCTCGGGTGGCTATGTGCCATTCGCCGCGCAAACTGACCAACGAATGAAGAGAGTTGCAACCGTCAGTGGCGTCTGAACTGGCCGAATGACAAGAGAAGGCCTTGTGGAAGGAATGGGAGGTCCCGAGATGCTGCAGTAGTCGATCAAGGCTGCAAACGAGGCTCGACTCACCGAAGCGAAAGGTCAACAGGATCCAGTTAGCCCTGCCTTTCCTCCAACTGTTCAAGATGCCCCCCCGGAATACCCACCCATTGCCAAAGAATTGGCAGAATACTACAAAACACCGCGAGGTCAGCATGAATGTGCACCTGGTCTGTTTGCAACTAGAAGTGCGGATCTTTTGGCGAACTTCGACGCCTATGCTTTCAACTACCTGATTTCGCCTCGTCCTCTTTTTATGATTGCTGGCGCTGACGCTAGCACGAAGTACTACAGCGAGGATGCTATGACGAGCGCTCCTTGTTCAAAAAGCTTCGGTCGACGGTAGGCCCAATACTGAATTTCTTGTATACTCGCTCTTTGAGTTCAGAGGAAACTCCGCTGGTGAGCATGGCTGGAACTGCACCTTCCACTGCATCGCTCGCGATATATGCTGCCAAAGCTGACGAGATGATCAGATTACGCATGGGCTTGTGAATGAGCGAATGGACGTACTGCGAAAATGACACCGCAAGCATCTTTGACTCGATAGTCACTAGCTCCCTCATAATGGAAAGCTTTTTGTCCGGACTCAGCTGATCCCAGGCGACTCCAAGCTGTGTACCAGATGCTTCTTCCATAATGATGTATTCCGAGCCAACGGCGTTATTTGATGTGGCACTCCAATCAAAGATTCAGGGCCCGGGAATTTGAAGGACATCTCGAGTCTAGGTTAAGCATGAATAGCCGCCGCGCGATTAAGGTTCGAGGTAAACTTACAAGCTCCATGGTAGCGACCTCGGACGCGGTGGAATAGAACGCTGGGCCGGCATTTGGGTTTGGTATACGAGTAAACACTATTTTTCCATCATTCATGATCAAACGGAAAGACTTTGTTATATCCTCCCCCAGCCAACTTCGTCATGGAGATACAGCTGTCTGATTGAACGGCTTTGGAGCTCAGTAACGTTGAAGGCCTTATACCTGTCCTTAAGCTGCTGTTCTTCACCCCAGAGCCATCGTCTACTCGTATGACGAAGGAAGTCTTCGTAATCAGGATTTGGTGTTGTCATTTGCTCGGAGAGATTCGTGACTGTGCGAACGACGCGAAACGGAGGAAGGGTAGTGGTCGTTGATTGTAACCGTGATGGTCCTGAAATGAGGGACGTCCGTGGTTGAAACCAATGTACTGAACAGTTTCATAACTTTGGAAAGGCTGAAAGTGCACGACGTCCTGTGTCAATGTTCATCGCTACAGTATGTAATGTCTGGTTGGGAACGGTTCAAACATCATCTGCGTCGGGCGCCGGAGGACGTGTTTCGCTCACCAGGTCACCGGTATTGATCATACCTATATTGTATACCCTGCTGGTAAATATCAGTACTGTGTGACCTGGTAACCTGGTAAACCCCCATTCGGAGGAGGTGGCCGCCCGAGTTTCTTCACTTATTAGAGTCACATAACTAACTAATACCTAGGCATTCTATAAACTTGGATGATCTAGTTCCCAATATCAAAGATAACAAATGAAACGCCTGTAATAATGATGGGATCGGTCGCCGTAGTACATAACATATTTGATGTTGGTCATTACGGTGACGCGCTTTCAAGATAGGCCCTAGGAATAACCTCAATTTCCGCCAGGGGGTGGACCTTTATTTAACCCCCGAAACATCTTGATAGAATCATCTTACGCTTTTTTTTTGTTTGTTACAGTGCTGGCATTGTAGCATGTCAGACCAGGCCTTGTCTTCTTTCATCTTTCATCTTTCATTTTCATTGCTTTGCTCCTTTATTTCTTATTCACACGAAGCTACTAACTATAACCTATATAAATGGCTTCATGGTAGTTATTTCTGTCGTTGGCATATGAATTGACCCCAGGACTTGTCATACCTCTTTGCTTACTCTCCAACACGGAATGCTACGTGGATCATCTCTCGACTAAACGATATAATTGCTACGCTTCGCTCCGCCATCATCTTGGGTTTTCTTCCTCATATCAACTCCTTTCCACACGATCTAGTTCGCATCCTACTGCGGCACCGTTTCAATACCAATTCCTCTATAATATTCACCATGGCGGGATTTCGAGGCTTTACTAAAGCTGTGAAGAAATATACACTTCTTTCTCTATGGATGTGTGGGCAAGTGGTATACTTTGTGATATATGTTTGCGCCATGGTGGTGATTGTTTGCTCTGTTGTGGCTTTGTGCGTTCCATTGTCCATTGTTTTGTCATAGGTTCACGACTCCTGCGCGACCTTCTAGTCAAATTGAATTATCCAACACGGACGTATACAAGTTGACATCTAGAATACCTATTAATTCATTCCCGAAGTATATGTATAGCAAAGCCATTGATTGTACGGAGTATATATCCTAGAAAGACCCAACGCCCGATGCTATGCACATATCATCGTAAAACAAAGTGCTCGAACTCCAGAACATTAGAAATATAGAAAAGTGGAAACGAGAGTAGACGTGTGGGACCAAAAAGAAGTAAGGGAAATATATGTGCAGGTAGCGCGTGTAAACGAAAACAAAATATTACAATCCCAACAATTAAAACTCAAGTCAAGAACTTGCCTGCGGATGCCCCGTGTAAACACCTTCAAAATCAAGACCAGCGAGCATGCCATTAACGCGATCGATCTCACGGCTCAAGTCCTCGACGTTCATCGCTAGGCTGCTTACTTCATCGAATTTACGCCGCCGGTTGGCATCGGCGATCATTTCAGACACGAAGAACTTCTGCTCTTCTAGCACAATCAGCCGGTCTCGAAGAGACTTCTCTTCGGCTTCCAAGGCCGAGACGGCACTGCTCGTGTCGCTGGATAGACTGCTATTGCTACCGCTAGCGGCAATGCTGTTGTACTTAATGGACGAAAGAGCAGATTCTGGTGGCCGGAGACCTGTCGTGGAGCCATTAACCGGAGTACTGGGTGAGCTTGTCCGGCTGGGTATTCTCTCTGACGCGGGGGTTGTATGCTTGAGGATTTTCGGGAGGGATTTCAAAGGTAACATGTGAAGATGAAGGAAGTTGCTGGCTTGCTGATATATAGCCTGCTGCAGCTTTTGTTGCGTGGGGGAATTGGTCGGCATATCACGGATACGTCGAGCCGCAACATTATACTGTGCAAAAGAATCAATCAGTCGCTTGCGCACCTTGGATGCATCTGCAATCTGAGCTGACGATGGAGGTCGTCTAGGATCCCTGGTACAATTTCGTTAGTAAGTGACTAGAATACCAGAACACAAAAACATACTGTAAAGCTGTCAACAGCTTTTGGAATCTAGGTAGATGAAGGCGGATGCCTCTCTCAAACTGGGTCAAGTTTTCATACGCCCTGATCTCCGATGGCTTTCGCGTCATGTCCGCTTTGAAGTCGCGTCGATCAAACAGTGTCGATTTGCAGTCCTTGCACAGTCTTACATCAATATTGACAAGGTTATCGCCATTGGTTTTCTCAGAGGTGGCTGTCGGGCCTATTAGAACTTAGATCAAAGTCACAAGTGAGGGTCGTCTCGGGACTTACCAGGAGAAATGCTCAGCCCAACCTCACTAGAGCATCCGGTACTCGGATCACCGCAGACAATTCGCCCGCAAGTTCTGCAGTGGTGTCTGCGAAAAGTATAGCCCGAAAATTCCTGTTGGCAAAATGGACAACGTGAAACACTGGCATCATCCTGCCAGCTGACAATCGTTTGCTCTATTTCCTTACGCCGATCATTCTGCCATGCAAGAGACCAAAGCTTTGTTGCACTGGGGTGTATTTGATCTGGTGGCAGACTAGCCAACAGCTGAGTGAGACGGGTCAGTCGTTTTTCGAGTCGGGAGATTTCCAAAAACTCCTTATCGACGGTCTGTTTTCTTATTGACTTGAATGCATCCGTTCGGTCCCTCACGATTCCTGTTGCCTGTTTAGCTTGGTTCAGAATTGAAAGCAATGTACTCACCATTATGATCATTGTAGCCCTCTCTTGACTTGTAGCAGGTTTCGCATACTCGGGCCCATATTCCTCGTACAGGTTCATGATGTGCCGCCCGCGAGAGCTTCATTTGGTACATCGTGTGTTCTTCGCAAAACAGTTTCCCGCAACTCCGACAGTTCACGCAACCGTTGGTGGCGTTCAATCGTTTCCCACATGATGGTTCAAGACACTCATCGTAAATACAACTTGTCTGCCAGTGGTCTTTGGTTATGAGATCCTCGGGGTCTAGTAGTTTCGGAGGTTCAGGGATGCCCGCATGGGCTGCTAGTGGGCGGATAGGGAGAGGCGCGCCCTGGTTCTCGTTTGACTCGAACACATCCAGGCCTTTCAACTTCTGGTTTAAGACTGCGAGAGGCTGGAACTTCCTTGCCTTTTCCATTTGAACTTTGAACCAGTCCTTTACTTCATCTTGGTGGCTCTCTTCCAGGTTCTGATGGATGTCGTCGAGATGTCTGCGGCAAATCGTTAATCATAGTTAAAGCGTCACAAGGGGAAACAATAGATCGATACCTATTCAGCTGCAGCAAAGTCATCTAAATAGAAGTTAGTATCATCCCATTACATATTTACAACAAAGAGCGCATGGGAACAAGCATACCATCTGTTCGCTGCAGATCGGACAGGAGAGCTGAGCCCCCGGAGCAGCCGGGGCGGCAGATATCGAAGTGTCGCCATTCTCTATTGAAATGCGGGAAGTGAGGTCTTGAGTTTCGGTCGAGAGCTGTGATGCGGATTGTGAGTTTAGGGAAACGCTGCTGGCGGTCGGCGAGAGCACCCGTGGCTTGGGCTGCGGGGACGGAGCTGATGTGAGAGCGCTTGGGTTGCCCAGAACACGACCTCCACCCAGCGTCCTCCGCGACATGATCATGGGGGCATGAGAAGCTGGAATAGAAGCTGTTTCAGCACAACATCCGTTGGCTGTACAGAACAAAGTTGGAGTTGACCGGAGGGAAATGCCAATTATGTGGAGCCAGCCTTGCATGTGGCTACTGGGGCCGCCTGAGGCATCGACGCCAAGAGCCCCAAATGAGATTTGATATTCGTTACGTTCATAGATATGAAGGAGAGGTGTATATTGTTATGGATTTCATTTAGTTTAGACCTATTATATGAAATGAAAGCATTGTATATCCCTTTTTAATGTCCACACCAAAGCCAAGGTCATCTAGTAGTCTATTTCCTCTTTTAGCAGTATACTCCGTACATCCGTGGCGCGTCATACAACATACAACTACAAAAGATAGGAAAGTTTTTTGAGATATACCCAATTTATTTTATTTGCATTCTGTCTGATTTGAATTGAAGCCATACCTTCGCCAACAATGAAACCAGACTAGTTGAGCCGAGCAGTAACGACAGACAGGAACAACAAGACTGTAACGACAGACGGAAACAACAGCTATAGAGTCGCTAAAACGGACAACAAATCAGGCTTTTTTTGTTTTTTTAACCTTTTCATCTTTTTTTCCTGTTTTCGCGTTTTGCTTCAGTTCATACAGGTTCGTGGTCTCATGCCGTCTTATATATACAAGCCTGGGTCCAAACCCAACGCGAATTCTTCAAATATTGAGCCCTTTTACCGCTCATAGTCACGGTGGTAGCTGGTACCAGTGTTGGGGTTGTCGTATTCCTTGTGGACACGAGAGGATCCGTCGTCAAATCGGTCAACGTCGCGGTGTCGATAGGTGCCACTATCGTTCACTCGCTCGCGGTGGTGGCGCCGGCCAGTAGGGGTGTCGTAATCAAGGTGTTGGTCGTAGGCACCGGTCTGGGGGTCGTAAGTTGTGGTGCCGCGGCCGGTGTTGGTATCGTAAGTTGTGGCAGTCGCATTTGTACCGTAGCCAACTGCGCCATAGTCGCTTGTGCCATAGTCCCGTGTGCCGTAGTCCCTTGTGTCGTAGGTATCGTATCCCACGGGGCTGTAGGTTGAACTCAGGGTATCATAGGTTGAGCCTGCAGGATTGTAGGCTGTTCCCGCGGTGTCGTAGGTGTCGTAGGTCGTGGACCAGGTGTCTCCGTAGTTGGTCATCTTGACGATGTGTTAAGAGTGATAATATTATTTGTGTAATCTTTCTTTTTATGGAATGTAAAAAGCACCAGGTCAGTCTGATTCTTATACCCTCGTCGTGGCGCTAGATCCCAGGACGATGATACTGCCCTGACATCACTCAGGCGACCATGGACAAGTGAGGCAATGCGGCTGAATGGACAAAGAAGATAACTCCAAGTCGCATATCTCTGGAAAAGGTTCTGATTGATCGAGTTTGCTGCGGCTTTGGTTCCAGACTGTTGCCTCAGAAGGCGGATGATGATGGTGGTATACTTCTATACCCCATAGGATTGACAGATGATTATTGAACCCCACAAGTGCCAGATATTTAGGAGTTTCTGTAGATTTCCAATATGATACCATGAATTGGCTCGAGAGAGTTCTGTTTATTTCGTTCTACCAAGATCGTATTCGTTGATCGAGACCGCGAGCAGACCTTGGGGTTGGCTCAACACATTAGGTGGAGTTCGAGGATGAAGTCGTGCCCTCAAATAGACATAATTATGGGTGAGATTTGGATGTCTAGCAAAGAACAAAATCGCTAAGGCAAGTCAATAGCAGGAAAGAACACCATTAGACATCATAGACATATCAGAGCACTTCAATTATACTATGTTTTAGGTGTACAGCCATCCGGTTGGCTCTATGCTGATGTCGACTCCCACCTAGTCACAATTACAATTAGCTATCCCGACCGAGAGGCACCAATGAATCCGACAGGAATTCAGTAGCGTTCATCAGGTCTGTGCTTCCATAAACAACTCTCCGGCGGTTTCCAGGTGCTGCACGTTGAGCTGGCGCACCCTCGGCACCCGGTTGGCCATTTGTTCGGCGAACCCATTCCTGCAAGTTGCCGTACTCCTCCATGCTTCCACCACCAACTGTAAAGACAATAGCCTCGCTGAAAGCTTGGCGGCGCTGTCCGAAGCTGGCACCGGTGCCAGGGCCTGCGCTACCAATGCCACCAGGCATTTGCGGGTTTCGCGATGCGGATGCCGGAGGCATGGCGCCACGTGCGTTCGCGCTCCTCGGGTCAAAGTAGAGGTAGTTTTCGGTCTTTGCAATGGCAGAGCTTGAAGCTGCAGCCGGGTCCATGATGGACTCGGTAATCTTGGTCACAGTGAGATCCTTGTTCGCTGGTAGGAAATTCTTTACTCCTGAAATGAGCGAGTCGAAGTTGGCACCTAAAGCGCCCGAGGTAATGCGATCCGTCAGGCGATTTGAAAGTGAGGAGAACCCACGGAATAGATCGGACGATTGTTGTTCTGGTGCAGATGTTGTCATCATGGTCATACGCGTGATCTCGCGCACTTGGCGGACATAGGCAAGAGAGGAGATGTCGGGCACGCCGGCTCGTGTCAGGGCCTCTTCGAACTGAGTCATTTCCGAGCGGCTGAGCTCAGTTTCAGTGCTGAGGAACCAAATCACGAACAAGCGCAGCTTGTCCAATGGTTCACTTCCTTTGGAAGGATCACTGATTAACTCCAAAATCTGTGACTTTGATTGTTTGGTGATGGTCTCTTCTAGTTCGAAGAAGTTGTCCAACTGCCGATCTTTGATACCCTTGAGCAGTGCGGTGGCAATGTTCATGTGCATATCAAGAACTGCCTTGCGTTCCCGCAACTCAGGGAGCAGTGTGATGGCGGCCTTGAGATGTTGCGCGGAGGCACTGGTATCATTCTGGAGATCTTCAATCGAAGAGGCTCCCGTCTTCTTTGTAATCTCATTCGCATCTTCCTTGTACCGCGTAAGCTCAGCATCAATATCCTCAGCCACTTGGGGGAATGGGGCTCCGGCATTGCGTTGCCAGAAGAAGTCGGTACTGTTCAAGTCATAAGACCTTTTGGAGCCCTTAGCTTCTGGATCGCCTGCACCTGCATCCACAGTGATTCGATTCAAACGCATTTCAAGAACATCCTGGACTAGGGATTGATATGTCCACGAGTGAGAGAGCATTGGGACTAGATCAATGTTTCGATCCATGATGATTAGTACCGGCCGTGCTGATGGCACTCCTGGCAAAGCGTTTTGATTGCCCGAGAAGAGGTTATCTTTGGAATTGAGGATGTGGTCTCGCAGTTTCCGATCCAGTTTTGTTGCGATCAATTCCGCTGCACCACCCTTGGGGCACCGTATGATTGGGATACTACCTGCGCAGCCAGTCAGAACTTCGTTCGATGATCCAAGATAGGATATAATACTTACCCATTGTCACGCTCACACTAAACAAGCCACTAACCACTTTGTCAACAATCCCATCTAGGTCTTCATCAGTCGTTTTTGGGCTGTTGATCTTGTAGTATGCATCCTTTCCAAGCCCTAAACTGAAGAGGTCCGGTTCTGCCACAATAAAGTTGAGATATTGATCGAAAACCTGCGCAATATGCTCAGATGCGCCAGAAGTGACTATTTGAGAAGCGAAATCCTCGAGAAGTGGCCGCGGGACGGAGGATAGGAAGTTCACGTAGGCTGGGGAGTAGAGCCCGTGGGAAAGGTCGCGAGTGATCGCCTGGATATTATCGGGGGTTGGTTCCACGAAATATACAACCGGGACATCTGGAATAGGGTATCTTTGTGAATGAAGGTTTCTTGGAGTCTTCGTTAGCGTTGGCCCAGTTTAGGGGGAGAAGGCGGCGACCATACAGATGAATAGTTATGCCCCATGCCCGGAGGTCATTTACCCTCAGGACACTGCTGATGACATCCCGGCCCATATTATCGAAGACCAAGACCTTCCATATCGGGTCACCATCTTCATTCAAAATCGGAGTGGAGTGTGAGATAAGACCGCCGGACCCGGACTGATCGATGGTGTTGTCTTCAACAGGTTGTGGATCATGATTCAAGTTCAATAACTTTTGAATTGATGCTGAAAGCCAGGGATCAGTAAAGGTCAATTCATTTCAAAAATCTAGCTTGCGTCACTTACCGACCTGTCGGTCCCGGAGGGACATGGATTGCGCCATGGCAATAGTTGGCAGCGCTGTGTGAGATTGGGAGAAATGCTCGGTTTCAACCAAAGCTTGGAAAGGTACAGAGCTGCGCAGGAAGATAGCTGAAATATGCGCGCAACTCTTATAATAATGATGAGGTTGTACCTTGCACTGTTGACACCGGGGTTCTTGCTATCGCTCCACCTGGCATGGATCCCGCTCTGAGCTGCGCTGACATAAATATTGCAAACACTGCAAACACTGCAAACATTAAAGATCATATGTGTTTGATTCTGCCATGTAACACAGGGGTTGTAACTTACACGGCGGTGGGCCAATGAACGACCTTCAATACCACAATTACGGTCAATTTTGGTACGCCATCGTACCATCGGTTAACCGCCTTGCCAGCAGCTTTTGTCCCTTTTACTCTCTTCTTCAAACCAAGTCATCTACTCTAACCATCCGTCAACACCTTTCCCCCAATCCCTTCTTTTTTTTCCGTAAAGCGAATGGCTGTGACGCTAGATTGGCCCTTCGTATGAGAGCCTTTTACTTCTCTGATTCCTCAAGGACACTCTTTTGGGACAAAACTTAAGACCGAGAAAGGAGAGCGAAAAGCCGGACAACAGGAACGGCCCAAGAAGAGAAAGCAGGAGATACAAAGTCAAGAACACAAGGAGAGAGGCGCCGGAGAAAAAGCTGGGCCATCTTAATACTTCTACGTTGTATTTGCAACTGCGGAGCCTTCGTCATTAAGCTGCAAGGCCAAAGGTAACGCCGTCAGCTCGCGGAACAAAGTTTGTGCCTGAGGCATACACCGCTTTAATCCTGAGTCAAAACCAAAAGCAATCGTTGTTTTCTCTCATAAGGTACGACAGTACTCATACTGCAACTCTTGAAGTCCACTCTAGGCGTATCAAACATGTGAATTGTCTAATCCTTATCAATTCTTCAGTCCAGCAGCTCTACAGGCCCCTGTTCTGCCGTCGTGAGACAACCAGCCAATCATCTCACTTCCCTCACCGGAAAAATTATTTATCCCTCCGAACCTCCGACCCACTTCATCCAAAATTAAAAGGCGGTGAGCGCCAAAATAAACTCCAAGCCCTGTCCAGGCAGGTGCATGCACGTGATTACGTGAGGCTTCATAGTAACTTAGAGAAGCTTCGACTGAGCTTCACCATGGAGCAATCAGCTCAAACCCCTATTCAGGGGTTATCTCATGGGAATTCACTACCTGCTGATTACTGGAGCACACTTGACCCCGCCTACCCTGATCCCGAGCAGCAGCTTCAGCAGCCATCTCAACCCCAGCACCAGCCTCAACAGCAGCACGATTCTGCATCGCAACCAACACCTCTTGGGATCGGATGGGACCATCCTGTTTTTCAACAGCAGCCAAGAGAGCTAGCCTCACGACCAGATCCGAACCATGGCATTTACTCATCAGTGCATCAGCCTTGGCAGCAAGCAAATCCTTTGCAACAGCCACCGCAACGAGGATATGGAGCTTCGCATCAGTATCAGATACATTCCCAAGCTCCTCATTTCCAACAAGATGGGTTATCTTTTGACTCTCGTCCCCTGAGCGCCTCCGAATCTTCGTCATTTCCATCATTTCCCTACCAGCAAAATTATTTCCATCCACAAAACACACACATCTCAGTGCCAGACACATTTCCTGAAGCACCCGCGCAGCAGAGAATACAGCCACGGCAACAGCAACAACCCCAGTCGTCAATTTCTGCATACTCTTTACCTCAAAGCTACTCCTCGGAAATGCTGGTAAGCCGACCCTAAATGCCCTTCGTGGTGACCGTGACTCTAACTTGAGGCAGCAAAACACAATTGATTTGACCAACGATTACTCCGATTCAGACCCGAATGTCACCATCAACCCCCAGTTCCTAAATTCTATCCCGCAGGCATTCAATCCACAGCAGTCTTCGTTGACAAACAACTTTATTCAGGGAATTCCTGCAGACCTCAAACAACAAGGGAGCGAACAGTAAGTTATCACTTTACTTTATGGATGTTTAAAATGCACTTGCTGATTTTTAGAAGGGGTAGGCAATTTAATTACTACCAGCATGATCTTTCAGTCCAGTCGCATATGGCACTAAATGGCAACCCGGTGATTCCACCTGGAGGTATGCGTAGACCAGTTGAAACCCATTGTGTTAGACTTAATACTGACTTTCATAGGATTACCAGTACTGCAAGTTGTAGTCCCCGATAAGAAGGGCGCTTCTAATAAGCAGCAAACGAAGAAGACTTCTCAAAATGGCCGAATGAGAACTTTATCTAAGTCAGAAAGTGAAAGTTCGGATGAATCCGATCTTGAGATTGAAGCACCTGACGAGCCTTCTCCTATCCCTCCGATCCGCCCGACTGAGCCCGAGGCTGCAGCGCAATATGATACCCTCCAAGCCGTGTGGTCACCGAGGAACAAATGGCCTGGTCCTGAGAAGGTCAAGAATGCGCTGGTAGCCTACAAAGAGCTTGTCAAAGGATTAAGAGATGCGTGGAAGGAACAAGTTCAGGCCATGAAGCTGGCTGAAAACCAAGATGACAACCAGAAAGCAACACAACTTAAGGAGAAAGTCACTTCGCAACGTCGTACCATGGATAAAATTGCGACCACGACACTGGAAATGGGTCATCCCAATATTGTTGAGAAGTATGTATCCCTCTCCTCTCCCAACCCCTATATCTTCCCTCCCTTCCATCTGGCTGTAATGGCCACAGAAATCCCGAAGCTGTTTGAGAAACCTATAAATATTCTTGGAAGCATTGAATATGAAAGCACTGTCACGGGCTAGAATAAAGGCTCATCGCTCTATTCGCCGGTGGCAAGGCTTGATTATACATGCGTGTCCTAAGTACATATATAAGAGTATCAGATGGAGCAAAATGGTTCCATCATATGGATTCTCAGATATGCCCTTCAGAAGCTATCTGTGAATCTCTTTGGGGGGAATCTCTCCTATCTAGAAATTGGCTCAAACTTGCAGCTTTGTGTGCCAAAATTCTTGAAACGTTATAGTTGAGCTCAAATGACTGATCGTTAATTTCATGTAGGCTGGGAGAGCATCCTATGGTTGTGGCGGCTTTATATTCGTTCTTACTCGATCGTTTCCAAGCAGCAGACTTTGCTGGGACTCTGACTATTAATTTGCTTTCGGTAAGTTTAACGTTTGTCTCCTCTTATGTCAAATGCAATGGCTAACATGGAATAAGCTCTTCTCGCGTTTCTCGACTTTGACAGAAGACCTGATGCAAAAGACCAATCTTTCCAAATTGTTGCCAAAGTTTCTCAAAAAGGGTGGCCAGCAGGTTAAGGACCTCACACAGAAGATATTGGATAATGCTGCGGCCTCTACGAAGCGTAAACACGAGAGTGAAAAGTCCGCCAAGGAAGACTCTCATCCAAGGAGCGTTTTAGCAGATCAGCCTAAAGGAGAGGCTGGAGTGAAGCGACCCCGTGAGGCGGATAGCAATCTGCAGCCTGGCACAAAACGAATGGCAGTTACCAATCCCTTGAAGGATGTGAATAAACATGCACCCGCAAGCAATGGACCGGTCAAAGGAGCACAAAGTAGTAAGCCAACCGGCGCTGCAGTGCTGCGCCCTAAAGCCAATATCGTGGCCCCTAAGCCAACAAGTCTCTTTGGCACTTTAAGTTCGGCGTCCAAGAGACCCGGGACCACAAATGCGGATAGGGCTGCTGCCGCCGCCGCAGCAAAGCCAACGTATGTACCCACGAAGGAACTGTTTCCGAAGTTCATCTGTACTAACCTTTCAAATAGTGCTGCTTCCGAAAAGGAAAAGACACCAGCCCCAAAGCCATCTTTCTCATTTGGCGACATTATGGCCGACTTGAACAAACCCAAGCAGGCACCAAGCCCCAAGCCCGCCGAAGATCAGCCCCCGGAGACTGAAGCTGAGCGCAAAAACAGGTTGCGTAAAGAAGAGCGCCGTAAACTTCGCGTGACCTGGAAGCCGGATGATGCTCTTACCGAAGTCCGACTATTTACCCACGACCCGGATGAAGAATTAGGTCCCGGCGATGGGTCATTGCGCTCACGAGGAGACGTTAAAGGTGAAGGTAGTGTTCTCAAGCTTCACAAAGATATGGACGAATTGGAAGAAGAGGATCTCGGTGAGACCGTATTTCAAGACGGTTATACTCTTTCAAGTAAGTTATTCTTCCAAATGCATCTTCAATTCCTATTGACCATTATAGTGGTCGATTTCGATTTCGAGGAATCAAATGATGGCAGTTTCATCAAGCGCGGCGGCACTCAGCTGCCCACGAGTCCCGAGAGGGAGGCTCAGGAGCATCGGGAATCTACTACCCTTATGGTCTTCTATACCTCTCCTGCTGACATGCCCGACACACCAAAGGAACCACCAGCTCCTGACCCCGACGATATTGTTACCGATGTATTGCCTTTCGGAGAGTTGCCCGACCTGGTCAAGGTATGCTATACTTCTGATAACACTACGATCCAATACTTACAAAGACACTACAGGTCCGCCAGGAACGTTACTACTCCTACATGAATCCCAAGCCTACGACTCCCCAACCAACCCAACAACCGCAGCGACCTACTCCCGGAGACAGTGGATTTGACATCTCCAATTTGCTCAAGATCATCCAGGGTGTTCCTGGACAGGCGCAACCAATCCCAGCCCCGCAGGCAACTCAACCCGGGGGCATGCCGGATCTCGAGAGGACCATCAGCATGTTCCGTCAACAACAACCTCAACCACAGGTCCCCCCGGCTCCACCAGTACCAATTCCACAGCCGCAAGGCCTTGACTTCAACGCGATATTGAATGTTATGAAACAAATGCAGGCGCCGCCTGCATATTCCCAGCCCCAGCAATCGCAATCAGCAATGGCACCTAACCTGGGCGCCATGTTCGCACAATTCGGTGGGCAGAACCAAAACGGTGCTCTCCCATTCCGACAGCAAGGGCATGACTATGAAGACCCAGAGCGCAAGCGCGGCCGCGAGGGCGGTTATTATGACGACAATTCTAACCCCGAATCGTGGAGCCGCTCGAAACGAACCAAATTTGGCGCCAACGAGGCCAAGCCTGTAGGTACACTGCAGCATTTTTTTGATAAGCAGTTGGCTAATTCTTTTGAAATAGTATAAGGTGGGACTAGTTGCTTGCAGATTTTGGGCCGAGGGCAAGTGTCGCAAAGGCGACAACTGCACTTTCCGCCACGATCCTCTCTAAATCAACACATCCTTTTCGACTGATACCCTTGTACTGCCGTTCTCTACATTGGCACAATCTTTTTTTCTCATATCTATGCATTACTACGTTCCTTCATGGTTTCTTTACTATTTTTTACTGGGTCATGGAAATGTATTTTACAACTAGAATTCTCTGGTTGGCGTTCATCGCACGGTTGCGTTCCAATTCATGGTCTGGGCTGTCAGCACATATTGATTCGTCCTCTGATTTTCAAAATCCTTTGCATGCCCCCCCCACAAGCTCAGGCGTTCTCTTTTTTTTTCTTTCCACTTGTTTCGCCTTTGTTTCTCGCTTCGCGGATGCATTTAGCGAGGGGGTCCCCAGATCTGGGGGCTGATATTATGGCGCATGGATGGAGGGCGATGACGAACATGTACAATTAGGTAATTTTATTTTTTTCTTCACAGGCAAGAACCATCTTCGGCGCAATGTCTTCCATCTCTAGAATGGTCCGCTTGGACATATTCCGGCCGTAAAGGTGGCGTTCCTAGGAGGGAGCGACCCCGAACCGTGGGCGTTTCCCCATATTCCCTCACTGGTCGAAGGCAACTGCTTTTCCTCTGCACCACACTGTTGGCATTTCTTCGTGCCTTCCTCGTTCAGAAGGCACTGGATCGGAAATGCTTCGGAGGGATTCGCAATATCGAAGTTTTTCACTGAAGATCTTAAAACACTTGATACACCAGGTGTTTTTCAACTGGATTCTCCGGGAACGAATTGTGGGCGACATACTTCAGATCCACGGAGGTTATCAATATGTGAAAAAGGAGAAAGGATACCTAGGGTCTATATGCCTCAGGAAACAAAGAAAATGCATAGCCACGCTTGCAAAGGGAAGGTAAAGTACGGAGTACTTGGAAACAAATTTTTGCTTTCTATATCGTGAAATACTGCCGATATCTCCCCGATTCTTTGTTTTATTCTTACGCACGGACGAGGACATCCTTTTGGGAAGGACGGGACCAATATATGGACGATGTGCTTCGGGCGGTTGAGCTCGGTGCTACGTTCAACTTTGGCCAACTGGCACAGGCACCGGCCTGTCTGTCCAGTCTAACCCGCATGAAGGGCCATGACCGCAGTTTTCGACTCCGTTTCGTAGAACAACTGCTCGATATTGCCGGTACCGCGAGGCACCTGGACTGGACATATGCCTGCTCTACTTGGCCGTATACAGGATGTGAATGCGTTGGTGTGTACCCTGCATTACCTTGCCCAGGTTATGAGTGCGACGGACGTTACAGACCCTTCAGTGGTTGATATCGGAGTATGTATTCGGCTCTGAAGCAGTTTGTTGAGAGTGAAGAGATCCGACTATCTTGGAGAAGGTCAACGTGCCTGATAGTGTGGACCGGCAGTTGCTTTGACCACAGCCTCGCTTTGATGTATAGTTGACAACGATTTAGCAATTCTACCGAATTTTACTATTTTACCTTTCAACTTTCAACTTTATAGTACACGTTGGATCAAGTCGGACGGTTTGCGGTCTCTATGATCCAAGGTTGACGATGTAAGGATATCTAGTTGGTTTGTGATTTTTGAGACATTATATACAACATATCATCTTTTTTGGCTATCTTAACATGCCTCCGGCGTCCTTAGGCCAAGGCAAAGAAAATATTCCGATGGCTTCAGTCCGCAGACAAGAAGGAGAACTCTTTCTGAGGTGGCGTGCGGTTGACCGCCCTTCTCTTCGCCTCACTATCGAGGGCACGAATTTAGAAGCTGAGGTTGTTCAGCCATCCTCAATAATTGTCCATAGTTCACTAGCATCGTCTATATGTCTTGCATTGTGATAAACCCGAATCCATTCGCTTGATCAGCCAAGATCCACCAGTATGACCGCAAATCCAGATGCCAACTTTGCTATATGCAACCACCTTATCATTGTCTGCTGCCATGCTATTTACACCGGAGGCCCAAAGCTTGGGGCCTCAGAGAGCGAGTGGTTAGTGTGAAATGATCTTTTATATGAAAGATACCATCTAATGCACTGAAGGCTTATTGAGCCCTTCCAGAAGGGAGAAACACCCACATTCATCGATCATGTCAAAGCTGGATTGAAAGCTCTAGCAGAAGACTCTCATGGCTTGCTTCTATTTTCCGGGTAAGGGTTTCTCATCATATCCTTTTCAATTTCTTTTCGTTAATCCATTGCACAGAGGGCCTACCAAGAAGCCTAGAACAGAGCTCAGTGAAGGTCAATCCTACCTGGTAAGAAGCCTGAATTCCGTACAACCGGTCATCCAGAAAGCTCATATATAGCAACATTCAGAACTTGGCCAAGGATAACGATTACTTCCGAGACATGTCCACTATCTCCACAATTGACCCATCAAGAATCATCGCAGAAACCAACGCCACGGATTCATATCAAAATCTTTTGTTCTCTCTAATACAGTTCCGGATACACACGGGCATTTATCCACAGAGAGTCACAGTCGTGACTCACGAGTTTAAACGCGCTCGATTCATGCAGTGCCACTTCCCAGCTGTGGGACTGATTCCTGTTGGCCCGGAACAAAAAGACTATATGCACAAAGTTGCTGTGATAGGTATCAATCCACCAGTGGAAGTTACTCCACTAGAGACTTTAACTCGGGGCGAGGCTATGAATGGGATCGGGCTTTGGAGAGAAGATCTTTACGGAGTGAACGGGGATCTAGTAGGGAAAAGGGCGAGACGAGGCTGGTCCCCTGGAATAGAAAACGATATATTCTCTCATCTGGGACTGGAAAATGTGGTGTCACATCTAATCCGCTATGATGGGCATGACCATTGTAATAATTGGTTCCCGAAGCGAGAGAGCCTGCCTTGGTCTTATACTAAACATGATACAACCAAGGGGCCTTGATGTTGACCGAAACAAATATGCCTCTGACATAGATAAGTGGAAAAAGTCCTTGATCCTTTCCCGAAACGCCAATCCGTAGTATCCTTCGTATTTGATCATAATGTGTACCCGGGAGCTTAATCCGCCAGCCGGTAGCTGACCAGAGTTCCAACTCGGTGATTGTTTGTGCTGAAGCTCCTTAGTTGAACCTTCTCTGCGTTCTTAATTTCCTTGGCATCACTGTCGCCCCATTCCACCGGCACGTCTGAATCTGCGTCGGCATAGACAAGTACATTGAAGGTGCAGTCACCATCAAGGACGGGGAGAAAGGTGACAGATGCGGTGATTTGGCGGAAGATGGCTTGGATCTCCTCCTGAATTTGTTTTTCTGTCTTTTCGATAGGTTCGGGGGTTTTTGCGTCTCTTCAAAGCGTAAAGATGTTAGATTAGTGGGATGATCAAGATGACCTCACGGTCGACGGACTTACCCCGATGTGCTGTTCTCTTTGTCACCGGCTTTCTGTGAGCTCTTGCTTTTCGAATTTTTGCCGAAGACTTCGACCTATTCCGTCACATTATAGTTAGCCACTGGCTTGGATAAGAGAGTGTTGAATGCATACGTCGAATTGCCATCTCTCCACATGTTCGCCGGTCTCCTTGCTCGTGATAACTACCACAAGCTTCGAGATCTTTCCTCCCTGCATCCATTCCTTCAACTGGGACATGATCTTCTTGATGTAGGCTTTGACCTGGTCGTCGGCCGAAACTGCTATGAAGTTAGGGCTGTCGACGTCGGCTAAGAAGAACACGGTTCACGAACCGAGCATATTGAGGCCATATTTTTTAATACTATTTCCAATTAGCTTGCTGTATTTTAGTGGGTAAAGATGGAGGGCATACTTACGTCGTGAAATCCTCGGGAGGATAGACTCCTCGTTGGAAGCTGAGCACCCAATGCGATCAGCCAGTGTCTTGGACTGAAAACGTCTGTAAACTTACAGGATTGAATTAATCGAGTATTCAAACTGAGCCTGTTAGTACTCAGACATCATTGACGTAATCTAAAGGACGACTCACGAATTCGGAGACAAGCTTGGCCGATCCTGTTATCTTGTAAGCTTTGTACAACCACGATAACTGCATAAGTAGACGAGAGGTATGGACCTTTGATCGACAGCTTGTGCACCTTTGACTTTCCCTTGGTTTCCGACATGATGAACTCGTAGATAGGCAGCTGCGGACTCTGAAGGTGAAAGAAAGATAGAGCCTTGTTTACGTCGAATGGTCACCGCAGCAATAAACAGTCACCGCCCGCGCGTCCGTTTTTTCTCCGCAAATCGTGACAAGTCCAACCAGCACTCAAGTGCTGATCGATTGCCCCACGGATAAACTTCGATTCGACGCTTGCATACCATCAGCCCCTCCTATGCCACCGCAGAAGTCCCAATGCGAGGATGTCTGCAGTTAGGCCGATGGCTGAGCGCAGCGCCGAGATGCCAGGCCGCGAGCCTCCGACCACCAACTGTATTTTCTTTGTATAGGTTTAAAAGGAGTTTCTCTACTACCACGATTTACTATGGACGTTCGAAAATTGCGCATATAAAACTCGACGTAAACCTCGAGAAGAGAATTGCCGCGATCCCAATCGAACGTTTTCGCAATTTCTGCATCGTTGCACACGTTGACCACGGCAAGAGCACGCTTTCCGACCGATTACTCGAATTGACGGGCACAATTGAAGCAGGATCGAACAAGCAAGTTTTGGACAAACTCGATGTCGAACGAGAGCGAGGAATTACGGTCAAAGCACAGACGTGTACCATGATCTACAACTATAAAGGCGAGGATTACTTGCTACATTTGGTCGATACACCTGGCCATGTGGACTTCCGTGCCGAGGTGTCGCGAAGTTATGCCAGTTGCGGTGGAGCAATCCTCCTCGTTGACGCCAGTCAGGGCGTTCAGGCGCAGACAGTCGCCAATTTCTACTTGGCCTTTGCGCAAGGCCTCGAATTGATTCCCATTCTCAACAAGGTTGATCTCCCCTCGGCGGACCCAGAGCGGGCTCTGGAGCAGATAAGAAACACATTCGAGATTGATACAGAAAATGCGGTGATGGTTTCGGCAAAGACTGGATTAAACGTTCCGGCTGTGCTACCGACGGTAGTGGAGAAGATCCCTGCGTAGGTTTACCCAGTGGCTTCCCAAAGCGCTATTTATTTTGCTAACTTCATGCTAGACCTATCGGTGATTCTAAGAAACCACTTCGTATGCTCCTCGTGGATTCCTGGTACGACTCCTACAAGGGCGTGATCCTCTTGGTCCGTATTTTCGACGGTGAGGTGCGTGCAGGTCAGCAGCTCATCTCCTTTGTTACCGGTCTCAAATATTTTGTTGGTGAAGTCGGGATCATGTATCCGACCGAGACCGCACAAACTGTTCTCCGTGCAGGCCAGGTTGGGTACATCTACTTCAACCCCGGCATGAAGCGGAGTAAGGAGGCCAAGATTGGTGATACTTTCACAAGAGTCGGTTATGAAAAGATCGTCGAACCTTTGCCTGGATTCGAAGAGCCCAAATCGATGGTCTTTGTGGCCGTATACCCAGTGAATGCGGATCTCTTCGAGCACCTAGAGGACAGCATCAACCAGCTGGTTTTGAATGATCGAAGCATCACAGTACAGAAAGAGTCTTCAGAGGCCTTAGGTGCCGGTTTCCGTATGGGATTTTTGGGAACCCTTCACTGCTCCGTGTTTGAAGACCGCCTACGACAGGAGCACGGCGCCAGTATCATCATTACACCACCCTCCGTCCCAGTCAAGGTCGTGTGGAAAAGTGGCGCCGAAGAGATTATCACCAATCCCGCCAAATTCCCCGATGATGATAGTGTACGACTCAAAGTCGCCGAGGTTCAAGAGCCGTATGTTTTGTGCACTCTGACGTTCCCAGAAGAGTACTTGGGGAAAGTGATTGAGCTCTGCGAAGCCAATCGCGGTGAGCAACAAAGCATTGAGTATTTCACATCGACTCAGGTCATTATGAAGTACGAAGTGCCTCTAGCCCATTTGGTTGATGATTTCTTTGGAAAACTGAAAGGAGGTACCAAGGGCTATGCCAGCCTGGACTACGAAGAATCTGCATGGCGAGCTGGTGACATTGTCAGGCTACAACTCTTGGTCAACAGGGAGCCAGTGGACGCCGTAACGCGAATTATGCATTCGAGCCAGGTGAACCGACAGGGCAGAATTTGGGTAACCAAGTTCAAGGAGCATGTCGACCGACAACTTTTTGAGATCATCATCCAGGCTGCTGTCGGTAAGAAAATCATCGCTCGTGAGACTATCAAGCCTTACCGAAAAGACGTGCTGGCAAAATTGCATGCTAGTGATGTAAGTCGGCGACGAAAGCTGCTCGAGAAGCAGAAAGAAGGCCGCAAGAGGTTGCGAGCAGTTGGAAATGTCGTGATCGAGCACAAAGCTTTCCAGGCATTCTTGGCAAAATAAGCGTGTAAATTAGCATCTAAATACATTGTATAACACTATTTCTGAGATATTTTCTCTTGTATTAAGACATTATACAAACATGCGCCACTCATGACAGCGGTGAGAGCTTTACCGGCAGAAAAAAAGTTCATGTCAAGACCCCCGCCATATAACTTCTTCCTCTACTCATTCTCACTTCACTTTATTGTGTCAAAATAACCTCGCTCGATATCTGTGGCTTCTAATTGCATACATACCACAAAATATCAGAGTTAATTCTTCTTCGAGCCTGAAATCTGGTCTGGCGGCTGACGTCCGCATATGCCGATCGCATCGCTTTGAGTCACCCTGCCATGCTCCGCACTTGACACGGCCATGCAGCCTCCAGAGGGTGCGCAGGTAGACCTGGGCAAGGCCCAGGTTATTGACAGCGTTCCTAAAGTGATCAAGGAACTGAAGTTTGGTGTCTTGTACGCAGTTCATTCACATGTGCTTGTCACAAGCGTTTGTCGCAGACTTGATCGCTAATGAATATTTATGTTCCAGAACCAATGATGATATTGTTGCCCAAGCAGTGGTGGAAGTTTCCGACCGAAAGTTTTTCGACTTGGATCAGACCCGAACGGTCGTTGCGAATGGACCTCTCGACCAGCGCATGGGTATCTCGAACAAAACCGATTCTTGCGCAACATGTGGAAACAACCTCAAAGACTGCAATGGTCATTTTGGCCATGTGAGATTGGTCCTGCCATCTTTCCACGTCGGTTATTTCAAGCGCGTCATTTCGATCCTTCAGGAAATTTGCAAGGAATGTTCGAATATTCTGCTCCCCGAGGCAGAGCGCCGTACCTATCTTCGCGATATGCGCCGACCGGGCCTTGATAATCTACGCCGGACGCAGATAGCAAAGCGCATCAACGAACGGTGTCGGAAAACCCGTAAATGTACATACTGCGGAGCGATCAATGGTGTCGTGAAAAAGACCGGAACAAGTGCTCTGAAGATTACCCACGACAAGTTCCGTGCATTCAACGTCTCGGTTTCCGTCAAAAAAGAAACGCCGATCAGCAAGGATGTCTTTGATAACTCTTTCCTCGAGGCGAGAGGCGCAAACCCGGAGGTCGAAAAGCACTTCAAAAAGGCGCAGGATGATATGAACCCCCTTCGCGTTCTTAAGCTATTCAAGAAAATGTCCGACTCTGACTGTGAGTTGATTGGCATGAATCCAAAGGAGGCTCGCCCGGAAATGTTCCTATGGCAATTTATCCCAGCTCCACCGGTTTGCATTCGGCCTTCAGTAGGACAAGATGGCGCATCCACAGAAGATGACTTGACCGCCAAGCTAGGTGACATTGTGCAGAGCAATATCAATCTTAAAAATGCTCTACTCAAGGGCGCTCCAGTTCAAACAATCATGGAGTGCTGGGACTACATGCAGCTTCAAATTGCTGTCTACATAAACAGCGATGTGCCTGGGCTTAACAAAGCCGATCTTGGAAAACCAATCCGGGGCTTCGTTCAACGCTTGAAGGGAAAGCA